TTAAGAAACTTATTATATTAAACCTTTATATTAGAAAAACTTATAGAATAATAGAAAGTTAGCTTTTAGCTAAATAAACTTTTATATTTAGTAGTAAATAATATAAAAACTTATAAATCAAATCAACTTGCTAGAGGCTTTTTACTGTTAGTATTTAAGAGTTACTTTGGAAATAAGGCTTATAGGTTAAAAACTCCTATTTTTTTATATAAAGGGTAGAATAATATAAAGTAAGACACTTGATAGCCCTTGCCTAAATAAGTAACTTCATCTTAACACACGTCCCCCCTCACAGGCTGACCTAGGTTGAGCATGGCCCGACTGTGAAATAGAATAAAAAAGCGAGAAAGTGTTAGAATCCATCGCGATCGGATTCAGCGCGTACTTTATACTTCCCAGTAGCTGTGCTGATCTATCCTTTTAATTGGGATTTTGGCGACTGATTTCGCCACATCAGGAAATGCCAAAGAAAATACCCAACCAAATACCGAGAAATGCGTAAACGTATCGTACATGACATCAAGAATCTTTTGTCCCGTAGTCATCTCGGGGTGCAAAACGCTGTCCTCTGTCCAGCGATCGTTTGCCCTGCCCAGCGGCGTCAGGTTGGACCAGGCTTGAATCAGCGTGTCTACTCCCTCGTTGGCAACCTTCAACTTCTCCTCTGGTGTCGTTGCCGCAGCAATATCTCTGCATTCTGTCGGCAGCTCCTCGACCAAGTCCATCCAGAAATTGGCAGGAAAAGCGGTTTCCACCGTGTCCCATAGATCCGTTCCGATATTGATTAGTGATGTGAGCGCGTGCTCGGGTGAGTCGAATTCCGTGTATCGTTTATCAATTGTCTTGGACAGTGCCTTTTTAAACCCTATCTGGCAGTCTGATAACGTGAACTCATTATTCTCCAGGCCGTCGACAAGAGCCTTCCAAAAGGGTGGACTATCCTTATCAAGGGCCAGCACGAAATCCATGGTAAACAGCTGTGCCTTTGCAGGCAGCAGCTTTTTCAGTACTTTGACGTCGTCCTTGGCTAGCTGCTTGAGGCCGGCCGCGATAAAGTGCTTATTTTCGTATTCAATCAGGCCCTTGTCCCCTTCTGCTAGGTATTTCGCCTTAAGGTCATTGGCTTCTGACAGCTTTGCCTCTTCAACCTTGGTGCAGCTAATCGCTCTCTTGAGCGCGTTTCCACTGCAAGCACTCTTGAAGTCGCGTCGGTTTGACTCGGGCCTAGGCTCAGACTCTGCGTTGTTACTCGTGCCAGCACCGGCCTCTGCCTCGTCACCCTTAGGGGAGTCTTGCTCTCCTTGTGCCTCTTCGCCTTTGGAAGCCGTAGCCGAGCCGGCCGAGATTGACTGTACAAACTCATCAAAAGACTTGGACACCTTCTGGTCTTTGAACGCCTTCCACGGCTGTTCGCCCCATGCACCAGAATTCGATCGAAACCCGGCAAGCTTGGGTACCTCCCCACTGCCGTGCAGCGGTTCGTATTTTGGATTGAACTCTGGATTCGCCTCGAAAAGTTCCTCGAGCTTCTCGCCGTTTTCCAAGCGTTCTACCTTTTTGGCATCAAGTTTTGACACGTCATACCAACCCTCGACCTGGTCCCAAGGCAGACCCTCGACCACGGCTTGCTCCTTTTGCGCCTCGTAGCCGTTCCTTATCCACTTTCCTAGGTCTTGGGGCCATCAACCATCTTGCTGTCGGCGCTGATTCGGTACATGTATCTCTTTACATCTGTGGATGGGAACTCAAACGCCACCCTGGGGCTCGTCGTGGTTGAAACATATCTCGTGATTTGGGCATTAGTTCCGTCGATATGCAAGTACAAGCTGCTGGCTCTTTCCAACTCCTCTCCGGATAGATCCATGCCGTGGCCCCTGGCGAAGAAACCCCCAGCTTCTTTAACAGTATTGGGAGGTCTTTCATCGCCTCGAAAAACAAATTTTGGTGGGTCGCCAGGAAGTTCAACGTCGGCTGGCGGTTTCTGGGTTGACTGAGAACCCCCACGGACATGTATCTTTCCTACTGCGTCGTTAGGATGGCCAAAGGCTTGTCCTAGAAACAACGGGACCACTGCCCAGAGCCACTGGTGCCTCATTGTAAGTTGATGCTTTTGCTTTTTCAAGGACGTTGAGAAGGAGATGTAATGGAATCGGCTGATAAGCGAAAGACTGCTTGCTTCACCTGTGTAAAAAGATGCAAACTAGAGACTGGTTTACCCATCAATTTATAGAGATTCTTGTCTGGTTGACCGGCTCATCTTGGGAGCTTTGGACTTGTCTGCCAGATTACACAATAACCCGGCTGTTTACGAAACCCAGGGATTCTTTCATGCTACAAGTGAGTAATAATGCCATATCATGTCATGATGTTGCCTTTACGAACATAATGCATGTCCCTCATGTTGAGAAATGGCTCATACATGACGCCCACGTGCACTGGCGTAGCAACTTGGCGGGCAAAATAAAAAGTAAAGACTGATAACAAAATGACACGTCTCTCTTGTCTTGGACTAGAGTTTACTGGTGCATGAAAAGTATGCAGGGAATAGCCTTGGCAAGCGCGCGATATAGCCCTTTAATATATGAGGCGGACGTGGTCGTATAGACGTAATGCTGTTCTCTACTACGTAATCAGCAAAAAAGTAATACATTTATATTAAAAGACAAGGCAAATAGCATTAGGATTATACTTAATATATAAGATTCAATGCATGTATATTAAAAGATATAGTAAAAAGCATAAAGATTATACTCAAAATATAACATTTTACGTATTTATGTCAAGAGATAGGTAAATAGTATTAATATTATACTTAAGGTAGCCTTAAATACACGTTAATAGGAGGCTAGCCTTGAATCATGTTGTGTAAATAGTCAACTACCGATAGAGTCATGAAGTACATAGAGTTGGACCAATTGACACCTTGACGGACTCGTGCGAGTAGTAGTCGCCCCACCTTTAACTGCCGGCTGGCGCATAAATGCGTCTGCCGGCAATGCAATTCCAAGGCTACCCTTGACATTATACATGACCTGCCATTACGTCATGCAGCCTGGCGCTAAGGGCAACTATTGGTTTCATATATACAGCGCCGAGGGTGATTATAGTGCTATATAGATTCATAGTCTGGCCGAGTATTCGCAGGCCCAGACTTTATCTCGACGCAAATAACAGCTGCCAAAGAACCAACACTAGACTTGGTAGTTACTAGCACCAGATTCTATAAACTATAACTACAACTTCATTTACTACTACAACTCTATTTACAACTCCAACTCCAACTACATCTACTCAAGTTCAATCCACTGTCATGGGGAGCACAAACTCGCAACCCCAACCTACCGCGGGTACGGCGCGCGACGCCCATTGGGACACGAGGCCAATTCATGACCCTGTTACGGCTTCTTGGAACCTACGCATATCGCAAGCAGATTCACAAAAGATGATCCATGGCTTCATCCCCAAGGAAATGGAGGACAAGTGGTTGTGCTACTCTACTACACCAGATAATGCCCAGGGCATTACAGTCGTTCATCTGTGTCGCAGCTGGGGCAAGACGGAGCAAATAGCACTAAAAGTCCAACAAGCAGATGCTGTAAATGATGCAAGTGGTTCAAGCCAAACCTGGATTATTCTAGACATTACGTGGGAAAGACGAGTAGGAGAGCAAGACCTAGGGGAACAAGAGGCCAAGGAGGATACCATTCGTGTTTGTAATTATATTCTGGACTGTGCGCTACCAGAAGATGAACCTGAGTCTTACTTGCCTGCTAAGTAACCAGCCAGCGGAACATTTATTGATAACAAAAAACACACTCAACATTTAGTCCTAGTTCTAGTTAGTTATTAACTTGGGCTCTGATTTTGCGCCAAATTTTTCGCGGGAATTAAACGGCTCTTCTTTGACTAAAGGTTTGAGAGGTCGTGAAAATCGCAGTAGGTCGTGATAAGTAGAGACTCAATATCACTTGACATGTGGAATTTGTACTGACTGGTATTAGGCCCGAGCCTGAGATCTGAGTAACCGGAATTAATTCCTAGGTTGCCGTTATGGATAGCATCGGCAATGTTCTCACATACTCGGCCATAATCAACCGCGTCAAGGCTATCAGCGAGATTCTACAAAAACATTAAGCTAGAAACTGGGTTTACCGTACTCGTCTTCCAGCAAGCAGCATCAGATTAAGTGTGTTCCATGCTTGCTATCATGCGTATTAGAGCGATGTACATTCTGCTAGATGTCTGCAACCCCATGCCGCGTCTCGCGGCCATGGCTCGTAACCGTGAACCTAGTGCTGTACTTGCTGATGAGACCACTTGAGACTTGGTGCCTGCCGCTGCTATCCCTCTGGATTGAATGCCCCTCAGCAACCACTCCCAGGTCGACCGCTAAGGTTATTAGAGACCAATCTGATACGTTTTAAGCGGATGGAAAAGGTAAAGGAGAGCACAAGCTTACTGCAACTATAGTGGAGCTGACGCGTCTATAGCATGAGGTTCTAGGGGGCTATTACTGGAGACCTACTCCCGGTTGAACGTTATTGTAGTTATGCCGGCCTCATATTTAATAAGATGGCCTCACTAGTCACGCCATTCCCCTCCTTTATAGTAAAGTTATGTTTCCAGAAAGAATAGAATTGATCCAATAGCCAGGCCTCCAGGGTGCTTGGAGGCCAGATAGTCAGCATTACATAAACACGGCACCCCTGAGTTCCAAGACGCATCCATCTCATTGTTATGCATAGAACCTTGACAAGGTCAAACTATGCAAGCATGTACCCCTGGTCCAGCAATCCACGTGGTCAAGATTACAGTACGTAACTTGTTTTATAGATTCACCGAGTCATGCCACTCGAGCCCGCAAGAGAATTATGAGTCAGGGAAATTGGTTGATGAGAATGGCTGGTCGAATCCAGTGCCAAGTCTTCTTAAGCAAGTTAAATAGCTACGCATTGCGAACATATATAACATGTCTGAACCCTCCTCGCAATTCTACTTGCCATCACAAGTCAATCTAGTCAAACTTCTTCTCACATATCAAGCATATCAACTCTTTTTATTACCATGCTCCTGTCAAACGCGGCTGTACTCGTGCTGGGCGCCCTGCAGCCAGCTCTCGGCAAACCTGCCAACCGACGCCAATTTTATGAAGCCGAAACAGGATATCAGAGCAGGCGCAAATAGACGGCAGAACCGTTATCAGTTATTATACCCCGAACCCCGGATGCGCCGACGGTGTGAGGACCTGGGCCGGCGTCTGGCCCGCCGACGCTAGTAATCCCTACACGGCCGACTACAAGGCACGATTATACGTGGACATCATTGACGATGACGAAATTCGCGTTGCTGCATTCAATAATGCCGAGCTTGGTATTGGCGAGTTCAAAGCCGCTTTTGTTTGCGACGACGACAAGAGGCAGGCCTGGCTGGTCTCTGAGAACTTTAAGATCGATGACGCCACCCCTGCCAAAAATAATAGTACATGTATATATGCAGGTCCCGAATGGGAACCCGGATTCAAGAGTGTATCGTGCGATGATGTCGAGTACGGATTCTGCTTTGACTGCACCAATGGCTGTGCACCCTGCGAGTACTGCAAGAGGCAGTGTGGGCAAGCCAACACGGGCGACGATAAACAAAAGGCATAACTTGACTAGCAAATTCGAGGCTTGATCTCTATGCAATGAGTCAAGGACTGCGCTGTGTAATGGGTTATCGAGGACGGGGAAAGAAAACTTTCATGTGCATTGATGTGATGCAGATAGGTGCTTCCCCACATACACTTATTCCGACTTATAGTTAAGTGCATATTACTACTATACTTAAAAGTATTACTATATATAATAAATATATTTATATCTGGTAGTAAAATAGTTGTATTATTAAGTTCCTTTATCGAATATGAAATAATAAAAGTAGCACCTAGTATACCCTTGCTATTTGCTTTGTAGCAGCTGCGACGGATTCCACACGCTCAGCCAATTGCTGATACGTCAAGTTCGACAATCGATCGCATGTAGCAACTCGTCCTGGATACGTCTGAGAGATTTGAGCAATTTTTTCCGCTATAGTCCTAGACTCAGTACTGAACTGCTCTTGCTTGCCTTGGCCAAGCTGCAGAGCTGCAGAGACGGCACTTGGATCATAGATTTGACATTCGCCAACTTTGACATTCACATTGGCTTCTATGCCTTCAGGACAAACTGGTACATGTTGACAAGTGTATTTGTGGCGTGAGCGTCATAGATTGACGCGGAGCAGTCCAAAGTGACCCCGAGACCTCCAGTTTGTGACTCAAGGAAGCTAAAGGTAATATCGTATGGATTTCGGCCCTCTTCGCCGTCAGTAATGGTAAGTGTGCCAGTGCCAAAAGGCTTGCCTTCTTTTGTCATTGCCAGCCGGTAATTAACAAGAGCTTGGAACATTGGTGTGTGTGCCGACGATCGAGAAATATTAAGCTCGTCCAGAATGATGTTGAACGGAACCGATCTCTCCAATGCTTCTCCCACTTTCTTAGCTGTATTCAAGGCAATTTCGGTGAATGTGCTTTCAGCAGGAACCTGAAAGCGCACGGGAAGTAGGCTGAGGAAAAAGCCGATGGTTTCCCTGTATTTGGTGTCGGGGCGGTTGGCATCGGCCACACCAATGCAAATGTCTTGGCGGCCCGGAGATTGAGCGAGAAGCACCTGAACGACCGCGAGATGGAATTAGAAGGGCGTGATGCCTAATTCCTGGCATACCTGTTTGGTTGCTTTCACCGTCTCCTCGTCAATCGTGGGAGCTGGAAACATGCCGTGAATCTGGACGCATCGTATTGTTGGACAATGGAAGCAGAGGGAGTACCTCGGCCTGGCCTGAGAATTCCTTTCGCCAGTATTGCATATTGCTCTCGAGCATGTTGGATTCTTTATCTTGATGTTCTTGCCGAGCGTACTCTATACAAGTCCCAAAGTCTCGCTTGAGCGGTCGCATATTGTAGGCCGAGTTCAAATCTCGCATGAAGCGTCGCATGCTAGGTGCATCAAAGATGATGTGGTGGTAGCCCAGGATCAAGGTATGCTTCTTGGAGCTCTGAGATAAGACAGTGAGGCTCAACGTCTCGCCGTGCTCGATATCCCAGACCTTGTCTCTGGAAGCCTGTAGCTCCTGTTCGATATCATGGTCGGTGGCGTACGGGACATGTTTGGATCGACGGACGGGGAATAGTAAGAGTCCTTGCATCGGCTGGTTATCTTAACTGCGGGCGAAGAAGCAAGTTCGCAGAGAGTCGTGATGCTGCATCGTGGTGGTCAAGGCGTCTCGCAGGCGATAGATATCGAGCTCGCTGACAGTGTCGTATCGGATCATTAAACTATAGGCAGTAGGATCCTTCATGAGATTTCCAAGCACAAAAATTCTGGACTGAGCCGCTGACATACGTTCCATTGTTATGATGTCCTGATTTAACTCAGGATGTACTTTTGCTGGGATTGCTTCTTCTTCCACTGTGCCAGCACGGGGGTGGGACTTCTCGTCGTCAATCTCCGCCCCGGGGTGTTGCCGCTCACTATCTTCATCTTGACGGGAGATGGAGGAGGCCTTATCCGTTGCTGAGATAAGGGGAGTCATCTGTTCAGACTTATCGCGAGACTGATTTGGTGTTTCACTGTCTGAAGAAGCTGATTTGGATTCTTGCAAGCCCAAGTCCACTATTGTCAGTAACTTCTTAGTTGCATCAACGCAGAGCTGGTTAACAGGGTTTCTTCCTAGAATCTTGACAACAGGGACATCAATGCCAATCTTCTTGAGGAACCAGGCGCAAATCTCAACTGCCACAAGAGAATCGCTGCCAAGCTTGATGAGCAGTGCATCCGGATCAATGCTGCCCGATGACAACTGCAGCAATGACTCGAGCTTAAAAACAAGGGCTTCTTGGACAATCTCAATCACGTCGGCCTCCGTTTCAGCTCCGTGGATTCGCTCTTTGATGTCGTCACGGCCAACTTGAGATTCCTCAGACTTTCCGACTTGGACTGTTGGCAGGAAATGGGCAAAGCGAGGATCGGATGACCAGGCCATTTCCTGCTCCCCATCCAGGCGTGTGTCAAGCGGCTCAATTCCAAATCCGACTTCGCATGATCGCCCGCTATTTGGCTTACCGGCTATGATAGCCTCTGCAAAGGCATGGTGCACATGCACCTCGGAGATTGGTCCCATGTGTCTTCTTGAGACGTAGTCCTTGGAGGTCATGTCGGCACAAATAAAGTATCCAACATCACACACATGGCCAATGTGCATGACTGACGCCGTACGTCCTTTGTGTTTGCGATTTGCTGCAAGCGCCGCCATGTACATGTTGGCTGCGTGATAGTTTGCTTGTCCGTGGCCACCAGTAACAGAGAGTGCAGAGGAGAACATGATGAAGAAGTCCAGGGGGTAATCCGCCAAAATAGAATCCAGATGTTTCGAAGCGTCCACCTTGGGCTTGATGGTCGCGTTCATAGAATCTACATCCATGTCGATAAATAGCTTATCGGACAAGATCATGGCTGCATTGGCTACACCACCAAGACGGGGCATTTTCTGTCGAATGAGAGAAATGGTAAGCTCGCTGCCCCATCGATGGACGGTGCAACCAGATGGGAGCGTAGCTAGAATGGATGCTGTTACCGAATCTGAAGCGGAAGCGGAAGCAGAAACTGGTGAGCAATCTAGAAATACAGCAAAGTCCTTTGGCAAGAGTCTCTGAATAGCGTGAGCAGAGCTTTGAGGATGAATAGTGATCCAACCATGACGGTCTTCAGAAGTGAACGAAGATGAAAACACTGGTTGTAAGTCGTGCACTTCCGACCCAGCAGCAAAGCATGCAGTCAAGTCAGCGCTTGCATTGTGTAAAAGAATAGACGACTTGCTTTCTGCAGTTCTGGTAAGTCCATCTACTATGATTTGGTTTGCTATTTGCTCAAGGAAAGTGGTGTTACAGTCTTTGTCTTCAATGGGAGAGACATACTCCAGCGACAAACTCATGACGGACGTGTTGCTTTGAGAAATGGCCACAACAGCGTCATCGGAGCCAATTTTTTTACCAACTAAAAGGTATACTCCTCTATTGCTGCCACTGCCAGGTATAAAGAGGGAGAGCTGGACCTTGACACGCACGGTTTCGCGGGCGGTTGTGTCATGCTTCGAGTCGCACTCAACGAACGCCAACTTGCCCCGCTGGCTACCAATACCGATAGATATATCTGTGACATCAACAGACTTGCTAATAATACGTAAGTTGGCGTTGTATCTATCATTTCTCTGCTGATCCGGCTGAACACGAGGGATAAGGGTATCGGTTCCCTCCACCACAAGCTCTGGCTGCAGTGGCCATAAGAGTGGCTCCACATGAAAGTCATGAGCAGAGAGGGTATTCAGTCGTAAGAATGCCTCAAGTATGACACGAGCTGTGGATGATGGGCTGGCGATGGAATCCAAATCAAGAAGCTGAATGTTAGATGCGGCAGCTCCTTGGAAATACTTCTTGCCATACCGACAATCATGTTGCACGCGGGCTTGTCTGTTCTTCTGTTGTGGGTCAACCACAGGATATTGTGAGCTACAAGAAACATCTTTAGAAGGGATTTGAGTTTCTTGTCGGTCAAAGACTCGGAAAATAAGGCATTGTCTAGCTCCTGCAGACCCAAGACGTCGACTCCAGAGCCAAGCCTGGTGAAATCAATTGTTTCAATATCGCTGGCGACTGTAATGCGGTTCCTCCATGGTTGCCCCGGCATCTTCTGGATTGTAGTTAATGCCTTGAACACTGGGAGTGTCTTTCCACCAACTATGAGGAGAGACTTGACCTCAGACACCTCGTCAATATACTCTAGAGGATCACGAAGCTGCTGGACGGTGTCATCGACGGCCTGACTAGCGATGAACGAGTAGCACTGCTGTCCAGGAATATCATGGACAACCAAATCCACACCAGAAAAGCCAGTCTGCTGAAGAGTTGCGTGCCATTCTTCTGTTTTCAGACCGGGATAGAGGTTTCGTCCTTCTTTGGCGCCGAGCCACCATCCAGGCAAGCCGCCAACACAGAATGTAGTTCGCATCAGCTCAGTGCCCGTTATCTCGACAAGAAGGAGGAAGCCACCTGGCTTAAGCAGCAAACGAGCCTGCTCAAGGCTTCTCTTGATACTGGCAGTGGCATGAAGAACATTTGAGGCGACAACGACATCGTAAGCGTGCTTTCGGAACCCTTGGAGTTCCACGTCGCTTTCCACGTCAAGCGTCCTGAAGATGGTTTTGCCTTGAAATTCACTGAATCTCTCGGCCGCCTGCTCAAAGAAATCTGGGGATATGTCTGTATAGGTGTATGTGTAGAAAGAATGGCCAATAGTTCGTAAGATGCGGTCAGTTATGGAGCCAGTACCGGCACCAATCTCGAGGTAATTGGCCCGGGGCAATTTGTGAGAGATTTGCTTCAGAACATCAATCATGCCGCCGTTGGCCTCTTCGAAACCACACCCGTCGCTGTATACGCGAGCAGCCATGTTGTCTTTCATGAGGACCTCTAAGATGGACTCTTTGCGTTTTAGGAACTCAAGAGATCTCTCTCCTACAACGCGGACAATCTCAATATCAACTGTATTACCCCACTTGGCAAAAATCTTGTCGACTATATCCGACTTATCAGCAAGCCAGCTGGTCTCTGCCACCGGATGGCAACCTTCTTGGACAAGCTTGATGGTGGCATCCCAGGCGGAGACCAGCATCTGGTGATACCACATCAGAGTTGGCCTCTCTTTCGGATCCAGATCTGCTAGGATCCGCTGAATGTAAAAGAGACACAGCCTTTCAATGTCTGCAGAAAGCTCTTTGGTTCTCTGGCTGCTCTTGGAGTTGAGGTCGTACTCTGGCGGCTCCAGAAGGCGCAAGGAAGGATCAATCTTGAACACTATCTCAAAGCACAGACGATGATCTTGATGTGGCATCTGCGGCGAGACTGGATCAAGTGAAACAGATTCCATTTGGACGGCAATGTCACCCGAGGATGCGTTGTATATGTGCACGTCACCAACAACACCCAACCCGTTACGGGCAGTGACGAATGTGTCCGCCTTGACTGGGAGAGTATCGCCATCTGCCAATGCCACATTCGGACTCACAGCTACTCGTTTGATGCCAACTGGTAGAATGGTTGTGGGAAGATTGCCAACTGCCGGGTCAGCACAAGCATGGAACACGTTTTGCCGGCTGACATCTAACAGCGCTGGATGAACAGTGTACTCGGTCGCGCCCAACTCTTCCACTGACCACTCCGCCATCGCAATAGCATAATCACGTCTACGCTGAATGTCTTGCAGCCGGCGGAAAGGTCCGGTGTAGCCAAGTCCATTCTGTTCAAAGCTCTTGTAGCCGGCATCGCTATCAATGGGATAAAGGCCTGGAGGGGAGAGCCATCGTAAAGAGGTAATTCCTGTTTTCTGGCCTCGCCGAGATAGACAACAATCTTGCCATCGCATGATTGCTCCATGGCTCCAGCAAGATCATAATAATAGAAACAGAAATCTGCAGAAATACAATCCGAGTTTGTCGAATCCTCCGCCCGCACTGTAAAGGTGGTTTCCACACCCCTCGCGACTATCAGGAACAATTACAGGGCGGCGAATCTTTATGTCTAGCACCTCAATCAGCCGGATTGGGTTATCTCTCGCGGGGACTTTGGCGGCTTCGCAAGACATGGAAATGTACGATGTACCTGGGAGCAGAACCTCTCCTGAAATGACATGGCCACGAGCCCAAGATATTTGATCCAGGCGGAGGACGTTACGCCAACGCAATTCCCGATTGATATCATCCGGAACACGACGCCCAAGTAGAGGATGGCGGCTATCCTGAGATTTTCCGAAGTTCTTCGACATGCGAGACTCTCTCCAGTAGATTCGATCATGATCCCATGCGTAAGGCGGCATACAGTATAAGGCTCACTAGTCATGCGCCGGCGTTCCGGGCATTACAGGCGTTATGGATTAACAGAATTCAGGGTCATGGCGTCGATTCATTTGACCTTGTCCCTTTCTCTTACGCGCCATCAGTAGTCCCTTGAGTGCTCGCGCCAAACATCCACGGAGCGGCATGGCAACGGGTCCGAAGTCCAAACCCTCACCCGGTCAGCACGCGACATGCCCACGTCGGCAAGACGCAAATAATCACTGCCTTCTCTCTGTGTAGATAAGTTACAAAGAAGCAGTAAATAATACTTTCGTTTTGATCTTGAACAGTAACGCGGAACAGCATAAGGAGAACCCACTCCATGGCAACGCCCAAAAAGAGACTAATAGTTACGTTATAGAATCTAATGCAGCGCTATCGGTGGTAACTAGTTGATGTATCTCAGACCCCGGCTTGCCTACCTGATAAAATATGTACTGCTACACTCCAAATAATTAAAAGCTACTGACAATATCAGAAGAGTGTCTGCCCACCTGCAAAGTAGCCGCGTGGGACCACCTCCCCTACCGCGTTTTTGGTCTGGTATAAGAATATACCGGCACTTGGTGTCAGCAAAGTTCTAGTCATTGCGTCTCTATAAGACCACAATTTGTACGCGCCAGGAGATTTTTCATGAATAGCGCTGGACGCCACGGCATGCTTAGCATTACGCCGCTATCGCCAGATGGTCTGATGAGGGGCATTGTGCCATGGCGCGGAAGACGGCAATTAGGATGTTTGAATTGCTATATTATAACACGCTCAGTGTATATCGCCGCGGCGGGTGTCAGCATTAGCCGACGTGATGTTGGTCGCGCCAAGCAGCTGGCTGCTTTTGTGGCGTACATGGGGTTTTGCCATTTCGGCGAACCAGGCATGAACTTCGATGTGCGTCTGGGGAAGTGGAAAGGGGTTCCATAGCAAGGTACGGATACTCCGTACCAGACTCTTGCCGCGGCGGGATTGTTGCTGCTTTTTACCACTTGCCTGACCCGATTCTCCGGATCACATCGGATTCGCACCTCCTCGGCGTCTATGCAAGTTGATTGGTCCCGGTATATTGGTGCTTTGACTGCCAAGATGAGTCGGAAACTCGATATACCGACCTGAGTATCCTCGGAGGAAGGAATAGACAGGGACACTCACCGATACGCATCCAGGGAAACGGGGTGGCCGTCGGACCATGCAGCTCACATTTGTGTGCGTACAAGGCCCACGTCGATTCATGTCCTCTCATCAAGATTTTGGTCCGTTCAATAAGCCTTATCCAGAAACTGATAGTGTCATTGACTATCAAATTATGTAGACTTGGCGAGAACATTCGCGACACCGCATATCTTAAGACATAACCCAGCATTACTGAGCTATTCGGGTACCGCGCCTATCCACTGGCGCCGGTTATGGACCACAATGATATTAGCAGGTTCGTATACGGGAGTCAATACAAGCCTGCATATGTACTAGTAACATCTATCGCAGGACAGTAGTCGACCACAAGTCTAGTAAATATATATGTATGCTTGGGAAATGTTCTTTTTCTCATCGCTCTTACGTGCTAGAAATACCTAGGAAATATGTAAACAGCAGTCAAGTTGAGATGTATAATTGGCAATCCCCGGTTGTGCTCATGTCTCATCTCCACATGCACGTGGTGGCGGTGCAAGTGCCCCGTGCGCGCGCACTACGAACGGCAGCAGGCGGCGACCCCCGCTGGCGTCCGGATATGGTTCGGAAATAAAGGCGCAAATTTTTCCGTCCAGTGAAATTCATTTCACCGCGCAACAGAGTGGAGACTGGAGGCTGGCTGGACCAGTCGGCGTTGTGGCGGTGGCGTCAGATCCACACTGTAACCAGCACCAGCGCAGCGAAGCCCACGGACCTTCGCTCGCGTAGACGGCACTAGCGACTGGGCAATGAACTTTCCCCCGCAGCTACATGGTATAACCCTAACCCTCGGTAGGCTCAAGCTATGCATCACGACCAGCCTCTCGCCTGGCGCAAGCAACGTACTCCTTGGACGTCTGTTATCTTCTTTTCTACTCCGTACACATCTTAATGTATGTAAAATCTCTAGCCTAGTATCCCTCTGCATGCTTTTGCTTGTCATTGCTCAAATTCGTCATGTACACCAGCTGAGCTTCCTCAAGATTCTCGTTTAGCGTTTCAACTTCAATATTGTACGTGCGTTGTACCGTAATAACTCCCGTCTGACGGGAAAGGGGCGCAAAGTATGGCTCAAACACGGAGTGCGACGTCACCCCCAATCCTTTTCCACGGCTGAACAAACGACCGCTGTTGTGCACGTTGGCCTCGTTAGTTGCAGATGCGGCCAGTCTTGGTGATGTGGCGCGAAAGACCAGGTCAAAAAGGAGGCGCATGGAAGGCATGCAGGCACAAATGATGCCGACATTAATTTCGACGGTAGACCAGACGGCGAGATTCATTATCGCCCATGTCGCATTGGGATCGTCAATGGCATGCGTTATGATTTCTTGAAGGCGGATGATGCTGACGATTGTAACCCTACAGACGAGATTAGCTCAAAGTTGTGGCTGCAGAAGACGGTCCCCCCCCGGGGGGGTGAGAGATCAACTTACAAGAATCCGACGCTCAACATGATGAATACGCCCACCTTTTTCTTCCAGTCAAGTTTCAGCCTCCACAGCTGTGACAGGGGAATGGCTATCATCCAAATATCGATAGCGATGCTAATGGCCCCGTTCGCCCAGGCGATTTCGCTTATGTTTGCGCAGGTCCCTTGATGTTCGCCGTCCCAATGCACCCAGTAATATGAGATGGCCTTGCACTGAAAGACGCTCGTGAGGATAAAGGTGATGCCGTATACAATTGTGAACCCGATGGTCACCCATAGCAATCGCCTGATGAGCATGCTGGGGAATATCCTCAGATAAAAGAACAAAAAGGCAAGCTTCAGAGTAGCAACATTGGCAAAGTACAAGATGGCATAAATGTATAGGCACACGCCAAAGTTTGTAATTTGTCGGTAGGACAGCGTCCAAATATCGCGCCCTACCCCGTTGGGCACGCCGCCGGCTACGCCGAGGACGGCACTGGATAGCTGGCAGAGAGCGGTAGCCAAGATTAACCAGTCATCGAGGTCGATGGAGATGTGCGGGAACCAGAGCTTGACGGCGAAACGCTGAATAACAGCCAGGGAAGATAAAACTGTAAACACAACGACGACGGTGGTGTACGTCGTGCTCTGGTTACGGGGTTCTGGGCCACAAGCCTGTTGCGTAAGGTTTCGAGCAGCTGCAGAGTAAGTGTCTTAGCAGATAGCCAGTGTGGTAACTCGTGTGAAACTAACCAAGCGAGTCCTTCACCGAACAGTCTGTCACCACGCAGGTTGACACGGATTTTCCGGCGTCGGAGGAGAGTAAATGGCAAAGACATGGCAGGCCGTCGACATTGCACGCCGACAAGTTAAACCCCGGCGTATTCATGCAATTGGTCTGAAAAATCAGCAAGTGTCTTTACATGTCTGTTGCCAAGTCATCGTACCGCGCATTGGGGAAGCTGCATCAGGGCGGCAAACCCAGGCGATTGAGCCTGCGCGACCGAAACCCGCATCACGGCTGCCACTAGAAGGGTCAAAAACCCCCACGAGCCTTGAAAAGGAACCCGCATGATGGCGAGGGGATACCTTGCAAAAATAAAAAGGTCAAATAAATTGGGAAAAATGACCCCCGAAAGTGTCCCAGACGGCTCAAAGCCCAGAAAGCGCAGCTTGGAAATTGCCTATTGTTATACAATGTCTTTCGGAAAACGCGAATAATGCATACCCAAGCGCAGTTTCACGCTCCACTAGAACCGTCCTCTGAAAGCAATCGTAGCGCAGGGATAGGCTAGACCAGGTCAAAGGAATCTTCATGCGGGTTTCAGTTCTGGCCCCAGAGTAGAAACGTTTCAAAATCATACGATTGCTGGCAACTGTGGATGTTGTAGACCACAACTGTGTAGTGTATAACGTTTAAGCCCTTAGTGCTCTGGTGTATTCGATAGTTTCACTTGTCGCCGGGGGCTGCTCTGCTTTCCCCAGCAGCTTCTTGTCCGGTAATGCGGCAAAGCTGTCCCCGGACAAACGCCATGTATACACATGTAGGCATTCAAGTTGCGCGTTCCCCCACAAGCCGCAACGGAGAGACGCTAGCCACGTGGGGGCAGCGTGCGGAAGGCAAGCATATATACGGAGTATCGAGGGCATGTACGGAGTACGAGTAGCTGGTATGTATATCTTATTTTTAGGCAGAATCCGGGCCAAGTTGCGTCGTCCCCCATGTCCATGTCCCTGCCAAGTTGAGCTTCTACCAACGGCCTGAACCATCATGACTTTGCTGATTTACCGTCATTTGCAGCCCTTGCCTGCGGTAGGCCAACGGGAACATGAACAAAAGCAAGGCCCAAAAGGCAGAAACAAGAGGCCCGCCCTCCGCGCCAGTTGCGTGGCATCCCCCCTGTAGGAGCCGCAATATAACATGGCTGAAGATTCACAACTCCAGTACGGCGCACGGCCAAGGAGTCAGGTACAACCAGACATGAGCCAGCTGAAGACAGTCAGGGGGTTCATCTGAAAATCAAGCCTCTGACAGGTGGATGGTTTGAGTGGATGAATACCGCGGCCCGTGAACGGTGGCGCTGAGCAACTCGAGGGCTGAGCAAAATCTTATTGCCTCACAGTGTACTCGTTATTCCATACTTTACGTTTCTGCTTGATTTCCGCCGTGGGTCGCACTGACATGCTGGGACCAATTGGCTTACAGGTGCCTCGCTCTCGCATTAGCCATTGATGATTTTAATGTTCGCTTCTATCAAGTTAATCCACGCCACAAGGACGCCTGCTGTTGCGGCCATCATGACGTCCTCAACGCCTCCACCACTTGCGGGGATATACTTTTAGCCCCAACTCTGATGGCCTGAGCATCGTTTGTACAGCTGCACTGTTGGTGAAACCGTTCGGGTGCAAATTTTGACGCCGAATGCCGTCGCGGTGTGATACATGTTGATGGCTTCGACTGTGCTGACGCTGAGTGCCGTCTTGGAATGCCATGTGCATGAAGCAGGATAATTGGAGGCGTCGCGGAGCCACGTCTCATGTCCTAGAAGCAGACTGTCCTCTATAAAAGTAACTATTATATTAACTGTACATTGACATACTCCTTAAGTAGTACATCTGTACTCTTGTATGTTCTTGATAATAAAACTACTATACATCTATTAGCCCTACTAGGACTTTGTATGTCTTATACCATCATACAAGACGAGAGTATGACATGGCTCTTTTCACAAGTAAGCAGGCTCTGCTTGAACGCTCCGGATAGCAGTCAACTTCAAAGTGGCACTCTATAGCTAGGCTATCCGCGGTCTACCAAAAACCACACCAGCTACAACACAGTGCGACAGCGGTAGGCTTCCTGCATAGTTTTGCCAAGGAAGCTACGAGTCTCTTTTGTGGGTCTTGGCTTCGGCTTGTATCCTCGGTCTGCCTTGTGGTGTTGCGCGTTCAGATAGACCATCATCTACGAGTTCGTCGCTTGGGGCCCGTGACTAGGTATAGCTTCTAGAATTGCACAGAGTCTCCAGACGCAACTTTCTACAAGTCCACGTCCGGTACCTCTGTGCCGGCCTGCCTTGTATTGTACGGTGGCGCTGGAAGTTGGATTTACACCGAGCAGCGAATATACGGTTTGGTGAATTATTAGAGCTCACTTTTAAGTATGATGGATTTTTTTGGACAAATATGCCTCTGGTATAGAAAAGGCAATCAATTATTGCGTCGTTTATTATGACTGAACATGGCTAGAAAAGCAAATGGGAAGGCTTGGGTGAAAGAACGTTATTCATGTTTCTTTCTTTCTTTCTTCTTTTTTTTTTAAGCTATCCGGTAAACCACAATACTGGTACGTCAACGGAAAGAGATAACAGCGACTCTCATAACATGAAAGACTAAGCACATGGAACCATCAGCGCAACCGACCAAATGGATACCAAAAACAATAGTGCGCCTCATCGTAAACTCACAGAGGCGATACTTTCGAATGGCAGAGCGTGCCGACATCGGTGCGCAGCCAGCCTCAAAAAAACTCAACTCGCCCACTTGCCACTTGGCTGTTTCAGAGTCGATATCAAGCGCCCAGCGCCGCGGTGCCCGCAGAACGGAGCACAATCCGAGACGCCACGGCGGCAGCATGACAGTACCAGTCGCATCTGCGGGGATTGACCGTGGGCAAACCCGGGGGGAGGGTCAAGGCGACTTACAGAGTAGCTAGCTGGGCGCCATAGCAGGGGCCAGAACAATCTCCAGTGTTCGCCATGATACGAGCCGCCGCTCCGCCGTCGGTGGACGCCGGACAGTTTATAGTGTCGCCAATTCATGAAAACATAGCTTGTCCCCCTTTCAGCCGTGTTAGTTGGTTGAGATGTTGTTCTTGTGAACTACGCTACCCCCTGTATCAATCATGTCGCAGATCGGTCCTGCGCCTTTGGGCGGCGATGTCGACCGTGGTCCTCAGGCCTTGGTCATCTGCTGGGTTATGACAGCCATGGGTATACTCGTCGTGTTAATGCGGTTTGTGGGACGACGCATGATACGCTCAACTGGACCCGACGACTGGATGATGCTGCTGACACTTGTAAGCTGGTTCCCATCTCCCAACCCTGAATGCCTTCGCTTGAGCAACGGAAGCGGCTGCTGACATGTCGGTGCAGATACTCTTCATCTTCTTTGTCGCCATCCTAACCAAGGACATATCCATTGGTGGTATGCGCCATTTGTACTATTTAACCCCCGACGAAAGGACTGAGGCTGCAAAATGGAGCTGGATATCTCAGCCATTTCACATTATGGGTTTCGCGACTGGAAAAATCTCAGTGGGAATCTTAATCCTTCGCGTGACCGGATCGACCACGTTTTGGCGCAGATGGATTCTATGGTTTGCCATTATTACAGCGCTTCTTATTAGCGCCGTCAATATCATCCTCACTTTCACGCAGTGCTCGCCCGTGGAAGCCCTATGGAACACGCAATTAGTGGTAGAAGGAAAAGCCAAGTGCTGGCGGTCTTCAATCCAGACCGACTTTGCCCTCTTTCTTTCCGGTAAGTCTACCTGGGTGTGTATATAAGAGTGGCTCTCAAATGTCGATAAACTAATGGGTTTCCCAGGTTACAACATCCTAGTGGACCTATTCCTAGCATTTTTACCTGCTTCTTTCTTCTATAACCTCAATTTAACCTGGAAGAAAAAAGTCGAATTGTGTATCCTCTTGGGCCTCGGTGTTATTGCTGCCATCTTCGCCGCCGTCAAGACTACGTACCTTGTGGCTCTAAACGAGCGCTCCGATATAACTTGTGCGTTCGCAACCCCCTTTATATTTTCGGCAGAACCCTGTTTCGTGTTCTGACCTTCTTATTCCATTTGCTATAAGTGCTTGACTAAGTGTATAATAGGGGAGACCTACGACCTTTACATGTGGTCCGGAGCAGAGTTATTTGTTATTATTCTTTGCGGCAGCGTGCCGCCCATCAAACCCGTTTACGACTACTTCTTGGGCAAACCCAAGAATAGGCGTGCCAACAACCCTGGCTACGGTGGCTTTACCTCTGATACTAGCTACATACGTAGCAGCTCTAGAACAAGTCCTGGGGATCGCTTTAAGGGTCGTGAGGAGGAAGAATTGGAGCTTTATTCTCCGAGTATTAGACTTGATACGAATAATGCCAGGTCCGACAGTAGTAGTCTTCCCTAAGGCAGGCGTTCTGTGGTTCAGAGTGTTTCCTTGTAGAAACAGGTATCGTCGCCAAAAGCCTTCTATCAGAGACCAATGGCGGGTAACCGGCGCCAAGGATGGTTATTTCGGGGTCTTGTTGATAGCGTTCCATGGTTGTAAAAATATACCATTTAAATGGTGGATCTTCTTTAAATTCCACTCCAAGCCTCCGCTCTCTTATCCTACCCTTAGCGAAATGAAAACAAGCAAGCCAATATCAAGTTCTAGCATAAACTACATTCAGCTATTAACAACTCCTCCGCCATTACAGTGCAACGTCTGCCTACTAACACACGAGCTATCCATTAAAGCAAGAAACACCACACAACTTACAATCTCGGACGGTTGCGCAGGTCAACTTATAGGGCTGGTAAATTCTTCTTAGGCTTTATTATTTATTATCGCAGGGATTAATAGAGTCCACACTGTGATTCTTGTCAGCATGACTTGTCCAATAGATAAGGATTTGTGCTTACCTGGTCCATGAGCGACAGTATTAACCCTGTTCCCTTGGAGATGTATTGGTTGCTTAACCCTCTTGTGAATAAAACTATACCCCCTTTAGTAGATGTAAAGTCTAACAGGTCTGGTTGGCCGATATATACGTTAATAGAAGCGTTATTTATAATAACAGAACTACACTTTATATGCTTAAGAGCGTATTTTGCTATAAAGAAGTATAAGTGCATATTAATATTAAATGCATATAATTATTAATCATCTGGTAAATCCAGAATATCTTCAACTATCATTTGATCTTCCCAGGTAAAGTCAGCGCCTTCCCTCGTGTATCGCGAAAATAATATTACACGGCAACTTATGGTAAGGAAATGCAGATTAGAATGGAGGACCAGCCTGCAGCACTCTTCAATGCATAATCAATATTACCGGTTCGGTGCCCGATTTGCACATCATGAAGCACCCTACCTCAAATTTGGCGTAGAACGCAATGTACAGATGATTCTTTCCGGCCCCAGGCTATCTAATGCAACAGACTCTCCTATACATTATACCAGAGAAGAAGACCTGTACCAGGACGAGTTCCTGATACCGTTTCCCATCTTACACTAGCTGGAGACTCAAACCAGATAAATACGATCCAAGGTGAAATATAACATCCGGTCTTGGGAAGTAGGGGTTAAGCAATGACAAGTAGTACCATTTTCACCGACTCAAGGTCGCGATCGCTGACAAATTGTTCATTCCGTGAATTCCGAGAACTGGTCGTGAAGGATACAACATAGAGCGGACGTTAGTGCGCTCAGTTTTGGGACGACAAATGCATCAAAAGATTGAGCGCCCGATCTCGGCAATTATTGATTGAGGGAAGCTCAGCACACAATCACCTCGCCTTCCCTAGATAATGGACACACTACTCTGTGTGTTCTTGGACTTCCGGTCTTCACCACCATGTGATTGAAGCTAGAGCCATCTAGCACCTACTGTGGACTGTGAAAGACCTCTAGTGAGTTGAGTCAACTAACTAGTCCCTATGCTGTTTACTATCAAAATAAAGAAGAAAAGAAAGTCTACATACTCTATGGCACAATAATAGCGCCTTATATCTTCCCCATACGCCTCCACAGAAGATTCTAGAGTCAACCCGCTTGGGGGTTAGTGATAGGCGGCATAGCCGCCGTTCAAGCGGCTTGGCCCGTTACATGGACTGTATAGACATTAGCAATCTTCACCTTCGTAGGAGTACGACGTAAAGTCTATTTTGACTTGAGTGTGGTTCACAAAGCTCTCTTGGTTAGCTGCACCTGCCATACTCTATAAAAGAGGCATTTCTTGACTTTGAGTCGCATGAAGACCAATCAATCTTTTACGACGAACAGTACGGAGTAAGGTAACTGGATCTTGGAAATTTCGAGCCTCTCTTCTGTGACGAGAAGGAATGGTAGGGAAAGCCTTGTGGTAGACTTTCCGATCGAGGCCACTCCCAAGAGAAGCAGCATACCCTTCATAAATGATGCAAAAATGTACGGCCAGTTGCATATTCACTCAGACAAGCAGTACGCGGTGAGTAACGCCCGACTCCAAAGCCTCGCCATGCATAATACCATCGCAGTACGTTTCTCCAATATACTCCCAAGCTGTGTCCTCATCATGACCTCTGTCATCCTTGGATGGACGCAGAATATGCGCCATCGTGCCTCCATGAAAAACAGCCACCATATCACCACATTCAATTTTCGGCGGCCCCATTCCCACGTAACCCCTTTCTGTGCGATACACTCTTCGGCCGGCGTTTCTCACCAAATGACGCCTGAATAAATGCCTCTCCGCGGCATATTGTTCAAGTTTCGTCGCCCACTCTTCTGGCATCTTAGGGCCCTTTGTTAGGTCCTTGTGAGCTTTGTAGTCAATCTTTCTGAACCGGCGCCTGAAGTCAATGTACCAAGATATCCCCTGGAGCATAGCCGATGATGCGCAAAGCATCAACATCTCCCACAAGAAGTCTTGAACGCCTTCATATAGTAACTTTCCCATTGCGATGGGACCTCGAGCCCAGTATCTGAGTGTTTCCATTTCTGAGCCGGCTTGGAAATACCACGGAACAACGCCAATTGTATGATAGATACGAGTGATGGACCACGCGGCCAAGCTTTCTTCAGACTTGATCGCGCTCTCTCCTACGAAATTGACAACGTAAAAACATGTTTCTAAACGCTCTTTGGCCTCGGAATGGCCAAATTCCCTTGCCAAACTCCAGTACGAAAGACCAGAGTCGCAGACACGAAGAAACTGCAGGGCTCGCGCCTCTTGGTCCAGTGGCAAGGCCGAATGACCGTTATACACGGACGCTGCGTCCCGTACAACGCCGGATATCTCATTAAAAAACAGAGTGGCATCTAGATAATCAATTTGGGGATGCGTAAAGGATTCACGAGAAACAGAATACGTGCGCTCGCCCACGAAAACAACCTTGTCCAATAGCGTGCCCTTGATGGCAAGACCATTTTGCTCATCAAGCGACAAGTCGGCTGTTTGTTTTTCGCCCCCAGCCGTAAACTCGGGCTCAGTCAGCTTGCTATAGCCGAGTGGCGTAACTAGATTCATGCTCCAGTCGGGGACCCAAGACGGTAATCCTGCCAGGTTCTTTGGAAACTGATTAAAGAGAAGTGTATCGACGTCTTGTTTCAGCATTAGGTGTGCGATATCCCTATATGTTCGCATAGTACCGCCGTACTGCACGCACACCCCTTTGCGGAACTCGTCGTCATCCGCTGCCAGCCCAAGCAGTGCAAAGATTCGATCCTCGCCCATGGAGGCGCCAATCTTGGGTTCGAGGTCATTGACATTATATCTGAGCACAATGTCATAGAGCGACTTTTGGTCATTCGACCCGTGAATGGCTCTGCGTTCCTGCATCACACGACCAAACGCGTTGGCATTGCGAAGAAGCATGACTCGACGCTTGAGCTCCTGCCTAGATTTTAGCCCTGAATGGTTTTTATTCCAGTGAGCGTTGTACAGGCTGTAGAAGAACATGCCGGCTTTGAAGCAATCAAAGCAGAGCGATTGCATGCCGCAAGCCAAGAGGAGCTGTCGTGGCAAGCATCCTTCTTGTATGGTCCAAAGGCGCTGGAACCAGCGACGGTCGAGAATGTCCTCGTATCCTGCTAGAGGAAAGTCGTCGCCATGAAGACGTATCATGTCTAGTATTGCGTCGCGATCCTCGCGCTCCTGGTCACTGACCTCCATGGACAGATCCATGACTGCGTCGAATACATTCATGCAGCTTGCGAGTCGGTGGTTGATGATGCCGCATAGAACCCCGTTGCCGTCGTGGCATCTTTCTCGAACGTAATTGTACCACGTGTCCGAGTTGCGAGATGCGGCGCCGAGCCAGATGATGCCTCGCTCGCAATTCTTGTATATGTCCTTCATGAGAGCGACTTGATGGGCCTTTTCGATGGTATCCCCCTGGTTGATGCATATCTGATCCACAAACAGCGGGAGGTCGAGTACGCTGGTCGCGACTAGGTGTAGCAGCGCGACCTCTAATGGGCGGTAAATCGCAAGTTTGTATGTTTTGCCTCTATCCTCAACCAGCACTGTGCGTTGGGGCCTATTGCTTACATTGCCCCAGGCATACGAGAGCGTATTGTAGGAGCAGGTTTCCCCAGACTCGACCCTCGTTGTTGTCTCGATGATTTCCACGCGCAGAGTGCCCTGGTAGCCTGGGATGAGCGATGGTTTGGGCGTCAGAAGCCGGATAAGACGGAATTCTCTTTTCGAAGCATCGAGGGCTGGGTATTGGTAATCTGGTGGGCTGGCGAACCGTGTTGATAGCTCCATAGTCAATCAAGTAATTTGCGATGGTCTGACATATTTTCCATGATTTATTGCTTCATGATGACGAAAGGACGCAACCCCGATTAACTAGGTCCGATGACAACGTGAACCCTTGTCATAGGTGTAAGCAAAGCGGTGAGGCGGGGATGGGGGCGGTTGTTCAAATTGAGGCCTGGGCTTCTAGGGTTGTTGAATTTAGGCTCGTTAAAGCTGCATGTGCTGCTAAATTCGGGCTCGTTAGGCCTCAAGGGCTGTTGAGGTGTGGGTGACAGGTCTGGTGGCCTTCAATGTTGTCTTAGTAGTTGAGCCTTAGAAGGTCAACGGTGCTAACACTAAATTGGCACATGCAGGTTGTCACACCAAAAAATGGATTGACGTGACTACGCCATAAATTATAGTGCGTTAGTGACCCCTATATTGGATGACTGCCTGCATGTGGTTTTCAGTCTCGGGCCATTACAGTCAGGCGGAATTGTGAGGCAACATCGAGGTCTATGGGGTCTGGTAGTTCATTTAGCAATTGTTCGGTGGGCTCTCCGGTTCACAGGTGGACAGGATACACGAATACGCCTGGCATGTAGATGGCATGAAACATGAGCAGAGACACCAGGCTCTTTCCACCGTCGTTGAGGCTCTGTGGTCGAGAAATGAACGCCCCCTCACGAAGAAGAGTGTGTCGCCGCCACGACATGGAGCAAATCGAACCCTTGGGGGAGGTTTAGAGCAAGTCGCTGTTTCCAAACAACATTGAAAGCATCAACTAGTTTATGCGCCCGCAAACTTTGATTCGAATTGCTACCTGTACGGAGTATTTGAGGAGGCAGGAGAGGAGTTGATGAATATTATTTTCGTTGCACTGCTACTCGCATAACCACGACAAGGTGGCTCGGCCTCGTTTTCCATTCCGTCGCGTGAGATATTCGAGCCACAGAGCTAGCTCTATCCGTATTGTGTGCTCAATCAACTATTCGACTATTGCGCAGGCCGTTTCCCAATAACAGTCAACCGTACGCAGCTTACCCAAGCTCCATTTCGAGTTTCCTCGACGGCCTGCGGCAGCAGACGTGCCAACTCGTGCTGCAATTTCTCGCTCTTGTTCTTGCGAGAGATGATTTCATGCATCATCAGGCCCCCCTCGTGAAAGATGTAGGCCCAATGTGGCGGACAGTCAACGCTGTGCACGTCCACATGGTCAAACCCCACGGCAGAGAAGAGGTTGTGCAGTTCGACCGCCCAGGTTGGTTTGAGGCGCGCATCCTGAATCTCAAACAACTTGAACAGCTGCTCCAAGCCTTCACTTTTAGCCTCGAGGGCGACCTTGTCGATGCGAAGTGTCTCCATGTCGGGCTCTCCCCATTGCAGGTAGCCGCCAGGCTCTGATGTTGGGTTAGCAACCAACCGGCATCGACTTGTCGAATTTGTGCAGATATATGTACTTAGCATTTGAAAAAGTTTGCGCAAAACCACTTCTACCTCATTGTTCAAGAGAACAAATGACAGAAAGCGCACGTGGACAAGGTCAAAGGCCGCCACCAGGTCCGCTGGCAGGTCATCTTTAATATCCCAGTGTCGCAACTTGACATTCGAGGGTAGTGTATCGGGATGCGGCGCAGCGTTAAGGGAGATGTCCAAGCCTACGAGCTGGGCTGACTTGGCAAGATGCTCTCGGACATCGAATAGCCAAATGCTAGGATTGTTCGCCATTAGTTGAAGTATGGGATTGTGCAGACGGCATCCAGCCCTACGGACCCAGTCCCGGTGCCTACGTCCGCCACATGTAGGTCGGGTTTTGCGATGGGAATTCTGGGGTGGACGGCGTATCCGAAAACCTTTGTCCATAGACTGTGCATCAAGTTGATCCTGCAACCTGGTTAATCTGCCAGTACTGGCTCTTGATTTTGGCATTCTTTCTCGGTTAATTCTTGCCGTGTTTCCATACGCGCGTACCTATTATTGTCAAGGTAGTCGCGGGTGAAAACGTAGCCATCGTTGGAAGACATGGTCATGTGCACGACGCAGTTCAATGTTGACTCTTTGGTATTAGAACGAGGTGCGGAAGGGGGAAATGCATATTTGTGGGAGCTCCGGAATTCACAAGCCTCAACGACAGCTCCATGTGTTGTTGATGAACAACTGCTTGTCAAACGCCTCCTCACTTGCAGCCCGACCTCTCCCGTCACACGTAAGCAGGGCACCTTTGCATCAGATGATGTGACATTGACCAACATGTCAATGCTTCGAACCAAAACGGCTAGTACCAGACGGCTTTGGCCTTGCCATGGTTGCGTGTGCTTGGGAGGGATCCATCGCACCGCCAAATACGTGACTTCAAATGTTGTCACATCGATCCATGTAATCATTTCCGCAAACAAGCCGAAGCCACGACACTTGCATCGTGCTGTGAAACAGACATCAAGATGGACCAATAGTGACTTGCCGAATAAAGAAAAGGCCGAGAAACAGAAGGCTCGGCGCCCGGCCACGGCATTTCCGCGCACCACCTCGCCATCCGATACAATACAGCCTTGGTTGTGAAGAAGCATTTGAGCCTCGACCATGTCTCGCCATGCCAGAATGTGCTTCCCGCCGCTCGGCAGCCCGAACTATTTGCGACTGGCAGACTCTGAAAGGCACCCCTTGACCATATTGCCCTTGCACTCCCCACATGTCGCTCCTCTCCTCGATTTATATCGACTCTGCATTGCTCTCGTGGACAGTGGAAGTGTCACACATGGCCAGCTCGAGCTTGCCGTCGGCGGTCACCACGGGGTTGGTCGTCGTGTCTGCCATTTTCCCCGCGTTGTCGGCCGTCGCCCTTTACCTGCGCGTCGTTGCTGTCCGTCAAAAGGCCTCGACGGGATCGCGCTCCGACGAAATCTGGCTTCTCGTCTCTTGGCTGACTACGGCGCCTCTCAGCCTTGTTGTCTGGGTCGTGGCGGCTCGGTCCGGCATCAATTACTACAAGATTAATAATGAGACGGGCGTCAAGTACTCCCTCGCTGTTTGTATTGTCCCCCGGCGTAATAAAACAACTACCCAGCTACCCACTTGGTTTTTCTTTTTTTCCCTTGTCGACTGAAGTGATGGACAGAAAAGGTGGCTAATTGCATTGCTCCGTTAACTAGCTGATATGGCTCTGCTCCGTCATTCTCAACGCCCCTGAGACGGCTGTCAAGATTGCGATTCTTCTCTTTTACAGGAGGATATTTTCGACGCCCATGTTTAAAGTATGCGTGCGGTTTGGAATTGCGACAATATCTGTTTGGGGGATTGTCTTCTTCTGTGTAAGTCGTTGAATGTCATGTTGCAGTAATCCCTAGCCCACACACGAGGCTTCGCAGACTAACGCGCCTATTAGTTTAACTTGACCGATGCGAGACCAGTATCAGAGCCATGGTCGGGCCAGTGTGGGCCTTCCTTACGACGCGACAGCTTTAGGCCTCGCACAAGTGGGAACCAATATTGCTCTGGATGTCATCGTGTTGTGCTTCCCACTCCCCGTCATCTCGCGATTGCACATGCCCACGAACCGCAAGATGGCGGTTGCTCTGATCTTCTGGCTGGGCGTCTTGTTCGTACCAGATTCCTTCATGCAGAGACCTCTGGCCAGGTGGAATATTGTTCTAACCGACTGCAGCTGCTGTGTCGCCTCGGTTGCGCGGCTAGTTCTCTTGAAAAAGTCCCTGGCCGTAATAATCGAAGATCCAGCCCAACATATCTCTAAGTTGACTTGCCCACCATGTAGGAAACCTGACATTCGTTTGAATACTCTTCATGTCAGCCCAGACTAAGAGCAGGCATCAACACAGACCTCCAGGCCAACGTTAGTATTTGGAAGATTATTGAGCCGAACATGTCCATTGTTTCCGCATGCCTTCCATGCTACGGCACATTTGTTGATTCGCGCACTGCGGAATCCCTTGTCAGAAGCGTGCGTAGTGAGATTAGCCTCCGAAGTAATAGGAGTCATCAAGGAGGCAGCCATAGCTCCCAAGATTTGGTGGAGCCAAGGAACATGCCAAAGGCAAGCCATGAATCCATCAGCGCCCTCCAGGTTGATCTTCATCGCCAATTGACGCTCCAGGAGGGCGAGCAAGGTCGAGTGCGACTTGGGTAAAGAAGGAAAAAGAATCAGTTTTAGTTCTCATAATACACTTGACTTGCCTGGCTACCTGATTCCGAACTGCGACAACGTCACGTGCAGGGTAGGTGACGGACCCTCGAGGTGGTAACGGAGTCGATTGTGTGGCACACCGAATTCCTTGGCCACGGTGGCTACTTTGGCGTCAGGAGAGGGTTGAACAGATTTACAGCCTCTTGGATTTCTCAGACTGCAATACCGGCAATTGGTTGCGCAGAATGATGGACCAGCTTTGGATGGAGCGAGTCCCGATATGACACCACAAGCTCTTGACCACTCTCAACAACTAGAGAAGGTCTTTTTGAACCAGCTATGCATGCTGAATTCATGTGTACCTGCCTCTCTGTCTCATTATTTGGTTGATTTGGCAGTTGCGAGGGCACCGGCATCTCTGACGTGAACGGAAAAGCGACAACTATTTCGTCTTGGGTTCTCTCGTTGTCTTCGACGGCATCAGAAGCTTCCTGTGGTATTGACTGCTTCTGTTGGGTTATTCCTAGACTTGCATGCTTAAGAGCATTTCGAATTTGCCGATTTGCCTCTTTCTCTTGCTTCCTGGCCTCCTTTGCCTGCCGTTTTTGTTCCATTTCCCCCTCCCGTTACATTCTCCTCTTTAAAGCTTGCGCCTTTTTTGCCGCTGCCTTCTTTTACCTTTTAGCTTTGTTAGTTTCCTTCTTAAGAGCCTCTTCTTGCTTCTTGGCCTTTATGGTGGCTTTCTTTAAACGTGCTTGCGCGATTTTTGCTGGGCTAACTACCTGGACCGAGTTAGGGTCTGCACGGTCAAAGAGGTAGTCTTTTAGAGCTTTACCGCGTTGCCTACGCTGTTTCTCATAGATAATTGTTTCTCGGAGACTATTATTCTTATATCTAAGCAGCTTGATGTCCGCTTGCAGGCTTTTAAGAGCACTCTTCAGCTTCCGGGCGCTAGAGTCGGAAGCCCGTGATTTATCGAGTACATACTCCAACAAGCCACACTATCCTAGAGGTTAGAAACCGAGCTACAGGTGGCGTTAGGGACGTCGGACAGCAAAGCAGGCTTTGTGACCAGGGCAAAGCTGGGCTGGCCCGTGGTCTGTGGTCCTCATATAAGACCCCTCGTGTCAGGCAGTCAATGCGGATGACGTTTCTACTGTCACTCGCGTACTTGCTTTCATTTCTTCTACTTGCTCTTCTGCTTCTTTTTTCGTCCTCCTAAAGATTATTGATTGGCTCAAACAGGCGTCTTGCGATTCGTAGCCACATTGTGGACGGAAACAATGAGGACAGAAACGTGTTTATTGTTGCAAGCAAAGCTCTATTCATGAGACCAACTCCGACTCGATCCCGTTGGTGACCATCTGATAAAAGTGGAGGTCGGCGTATCTCAGCTCCGGCAGGGATATGCAATCTCGCAAGCCAGGTGCCTGTGTAACCTCGGAAAAGGCTGGAGCGGGTGATGTTTGTCTCTCCCCACTAGGCTTCCCTCCTCTGTTGATTAATACTGTCAATAACAGGATGCAAACTGACACCCGTACCTAAATCGAAATGGAATTAGACGGTAGTAAATTTGCTTGTGACACTTGTGTGCGCGGGCATCGCGCAAGCAAGTGTCAGCACATTGGTGAGTGCTACGATCCGGTCATCTCCCCAGCTCGAATGGCTTCACCGAAATGCTCCCCCTTGCTGATGCGGAGAGTTCCGGCAAGATCGTCCACTTCAAAAAATTATCAAGAAAGGCAGGCCCGTAAGGCAGTGCCAACACTGTCGCTCTCTACGTCAATCACACTCAGTTCATACAAAATGCGGCTGTGGCGCAAAGGCTCAAAATTCCTCGCTTGAGTCCATGATTGAAGCCGATTCTGGTCAGTTCCGAGCCTTTTGAAACAAGACTCCACCCTCGTCTCGTCACTCTCATTGACTTGCCCATGCAGAACGTTGTTGTTGTAACGACGGACAGCCGTGCATATGCGCCTACAAAAAAGTCCAATCCGTCTTGGATACCTGGCCTGGAGCTGGTTTTGAGGTTCAGGGCATGAACCCGGCTCATGACAGTGGCGCGGCATCTTGGGACGAAAATCATAGCGATGAACAAAGCCAGTTGCACGGTTCCGAACACCTCCTGGACTTGAGCAACTTGCTTTATTCACGCCATGATCAGTCTGTTGATGGAGCATCAGCTGATGATAGGTTTGATGTTACATGGAGTCTTGCATCGACAAATGCCATGAGTTCCTGCTTCCCTTTCGAAGGTCAAATGGACATGGGACCAGGTATTCCCATCGGGTCGACAAACATCGCTGGGGGTGTCAGCGATCAGTATATCGACTTAGACAAGCCCATTTTGAATGGAATTGATCCGTTCAGTGACCCGGACACAGCCCTGGGTTGGAGTGCAAACCCGGCTCAAACCATTGACGGTAGGAACTTCAATCCTTACTTTGCGATGACTGAGAAGAACGATCAGGAAAAGGGGAGTTATACGCCCGATTTTGGCCAAAGCTTGGAGAACAATGCCATTGAGGAAACTAGAGCGGTAACAAATTTTACGGAGGACTTCATGTAGTATCAGCGACAGCTCTCGTCAAATACGGGAATGACGAACAGAACCTAGTGATAAATAGGGACGACGCAAGGTCTGATTAGCTATTTAATAATTCAAAATATATCAGTTACACCGAGTCAGAAATTCTATACTTGGTCGCCATGCTACACTACATGACAGCAGAAAGAGCAATCGTAGCCTTGCATACATGTCCGCATCGGCCGGGTCTCAATGCAGTTTGCCTACCACTTGGGACATTTTCATCTCTCTATTGGATGGCAGCAATAGCCTCGTCGCTTTTTTTGTTGGTGAAACGTGCTAGAGCTTGACGTCGCGGGCTTGCTGGGGGTTGCTAAGCTGTGAACAACGCCGACTAGCTCATCTTCATTTTCTTGTACTAGCCCTGCCGTCTTGCGGCATAGACTGGTGGTGTGAATCGAAAAGGTAAGAAAAGGAAGAGGATTCGGAGCCCGGGAGTTTGGTGGGTGAAGCATGGGTAAACAACGAACTGAGGGATAAATGATACTGTAAACGAAACAGAAGACATGACTGACAGCAAGCGTCTCTCGCAAATCTCCCTCTCGCATCTCAATTCACGGCTCAACCTCGTCACCAGCCTGCATCCAGTAGTCCATGGCCTTTATGCTTTCGTAGCTTCTTTTTCGGTAGCAACAACCTTACCTGTGGCACTCATACCCATGACCCTTGCGTCCCTGACGTTCTGACCTACAGCAAGGGCAAGATAGATAGTTGACACACCAAAGCTAGTGCCAGCTTCGATAATGTTCTTGGCACCAAGGGACCGTGCGAGGAGATACATGAACTGGCATTTGTCTTGCTCCAAACTCACAAACCTGTGTCGCATGTGATGGTCCGCTGCTTTCAGCCAGGATGCTTTTCGGATGTAAAACCCAATAATAGTCTCCAGGTAGAACAAGACCTACGATAATGACTTCTCCTGAGAGGCAGAAGCTGTGTGAAGGCGCTTCAACAGCTCGTGGACACGGGGGCTAGCTTCTATAGCCCACGTTGCTCTTCCACCCATTTCCATGATGCGATGAGAGCTCTAGGTTCTAAACTGGGCGGTGTCCGATCGCCATGTGCCCTTCTCCATTGGGGAGCTAGCACCAGACACTTATAGAAGAGGGCCTAATGCTCTACGACCTCTCTAGGTGAGGCACAAATGGAGTCATACCTGAAGGGGTACCCTCTCGTATTGCCCTCGATTTGGGTTAGACCATTTCGGAGCAAAGGGGGGATTATGTGCCGTCGAGCTGGAGCCGTGAGACCTAGCAACTACTTCAAAGTGTACTTCTTCTTCCGTATATGTCGGCGAGCATTGCTATATGCTGGGCGCTGAGGTGTTGGGGTAGGGCAAAATCCTCTCATAGCGGTCCACTCATCCCATGGATAACTCGGAAAATATTTTTGGCCAAATCTTTGAGGATGTCCTCCCTCTCTCGCGCCACGTCTTTTTCTTCGTTTCTCTCCCTGGCGCAGATCTTAACTCCAAAGGTAAATTAATTAAAGCTGTTGATCCAAAGTTGCGATCTGGTGCCCCGTGGCGCATGCGTGATTTGTGCGGTGCGCTAGTGAACTTGGTTGACATCTCACGAGGTTGGTGGAATGGAGCCAGGATTTGGGACTGCCGGACAAAGGTTGATGAATCAAGGTTGGATATGAGAAGAATGAGGAAGTTACTATTAATTGGCTCTTGATAGTTAAGTTGAATAGTTATGACTAGTTATTAAAAACAAACAAAAAAGCTCGTTGCAGAAGAACTGCCTCCATCGGTGCAAACCAGGGGTTGCCCCCCCCCCCTTCCCCTCCTTCTCCGCCTCGTGTTCTCGCCATGCAAGAAACATGCTGGACATCGAGCGTCTAAGTGGGACAGATGGGCCTCGTCTCAAATGGTCGAGCAATGGTCTGGTACTTAGCGTAAGCTGCTGCGACAGCGGGGATGGAGAATACAGACCTCCATTGAATTGACTGGGACGCAATCAAATGTTTGTCGCCGGCTCAACATCCCGGACGCTCAAGTGATGAATACCCATCATGCAATTTCTACATCGTTGTTACGTCCAGTATTCGCAGCTTTGACCAGCAGAATGTCTCTTTCCTCTGTACCCTGAGCCGGGTGCAGATGTCAAAGCGCCATAGCCAAGCTGCTAAGTTGATCAATTATACCACTGTCAAGTTTGGTGGCTGAAATAATATCATTGCGTTTTAACGTTAAAAGCAAACAAAGTAATCCAACTAGTTATTTATACAATCGGTTTGATTTAACTACTCAGCCAAAGACCTGACCACACTGGGACAGTGAGTTCCATTATGCAAGGCGCCGCCTATACTCTTTCGTGGGATAGCCGCTTTCACGATCATGTGTCGGATATAGCAGACCGAGGCCGGAGGGCTCCAGTATTATCCAGTCACTGCTCGGGGTCGAAGTGGCATATAAAACTCAATCCCAGCTTCAAAAAAAGTTGACGTAGCTCAGCCAGGCTTAGAACAATAGAAACATGGCGACCGTTGCCCATACGATATGTTTATAGCCGGAGCGGAAACTCACAGCCGTTGATATTGTCGGCGGGGCTTTGCTGCCTAGTAGACCAGGTAACTTCTCTTCTCCTTCGATCAGGACAACTGCCATCCCGCTCTGTTTGCGGTGGTGTAAGTATAGGTAGGGCAAATGCATGGGAGAAGACTCATTGCGAGGACTTACGACAATATGCCACTGCAAATGGCAGTGCATCAGCCAAGCGCCTGGGTTGTCAGTAATGTATCTGTCCTGTTAGCTGTTGAACGCAACCGAAAACAATCGTTTTCATGGGCATACCTGATTACAGCCCATCCAGAAGATGGAAGTTCGACTGTGTCGCGATACGGTGGGTTTTGCAGGTTAATAAGAGATTTTGGCGCCTCCTGAGCGGTTGCATAGGGGAATGTTCCAGTCCCAGTCCCAAGAACCCAGAACTTGTGGCCGTGTAGATGCATGGGGTGGCCCATCTTCAGACATTAGTTACTGAAAGACAAAGAGATTGTGAACGGCCTGGTATCTACTAACCGTATCCAGAGATTCATTTGCGACATTCATCACTATGTCAATGACTGAGTTGGAGGGCATTCGAATCGTCGTATTCGCCAACCATCCCTCAGATTGGGCACCGTATAGGATGGGAACCCTAGGCTCCGTGAAAGGAGCCTTGTTCATTACCCAAGCAGTTACCCCGGTTTGATTGATGGCAAACAATTGCGTTCTGTCGGCTGCTTTGGAAGGAGGGCTGTTGGATTCAAAAGGTGCCAGCTTCCAAGGGTTCAGCAGCGAAGCCTCAGACTTGGCGGAGCCATTTTTCAACATCCAAACGATGGATGGGTCATCCATCGCGTCCGTGGATATGTTGCTCGTCGTCTGCGATATCTATGCTATGAGCTACGGATGATATAATTTCAAGAGAGGACTCTTACGTTGTATGATATAATTGCCTGACCTTCCATTACCTGCTGCATGTCTCCCACGGGATACGTCGCGAACCTAAGGTAATAGTTCCCTGGCATCTGATTAAGTCTAATCATCACCGAGTACCGCTGACCAAGAGCCATGTGTAGTACCTGAAACGGTCAATTAAAGCTGACGATGGACTATCAAGAAAACTTACCTTTACTTCCTGGAGCAGAACAAATGAACCGTCAGCGGCGTAAACGAACATGGAATGCCCATCCAGAGATACCCGCAGCGCGCTCACTGCGCCGGAATTGACCAAGTTCAGCGCAAGCCAACCTGTCGTACTGTTTGCAGATATGTTTAACAAGTTTGAAGTTGTATTGGTGCAAGTTTCTGGTGGAAGGGAACTGGCATTATAACCAGGGTTGAACATCATTGGCATTGCGCATCCGCGAGGACCAAGCGACGCCATCATCATTGTAGTGCTAGCAGTTGTGGCCGTATCTGGGACCGTTGTTCGCGTTGGACCTTCCATGACCATGGTTGTGGTTCCCATGTCCATGCTAGAGCCATCCATTGTCATTCGTTTGTTCATTCCTGACATCATCATCGCCGTGGAGCTTGTTGATAGGGACGTCTGATTGGCTTTTGGCATCATGCCGTTCTGGAATTCGGGGAGACACTGCACTCTGCCATTCCCGTTTGCAAGAATGCTATCCACGCAGTTTGGGAATGCCCCAGTTGTGAAGTATCTCGACCAAATCACATCTGAGGGGTCGTGGGTCCAGTCATTGAGGAGAATGGAAGGAGCATCTCGCTCAGCGTTCATGAGCAACTTCTTTTCGCCTTCTGTGCTCGCAAGCTTCTCGAAGGGTCGTCTTCGTGAAGGCGAAGGACGGACGAGCAACGGCCCTCTGATGGCATCGTTGTAGTACGCGCGGAGATGCGAATGATACCAAAAAAACCCGTATTCGTCTCGGAGATTGAATCGATAAGTAAAGTTTCCTCCCCCGGGTATGGGGTACTGCCAGGGGTTAACCAAGTTCCACCAGTTGACATTGGGAGGTGGAAAGAATGCCCTACCTGCGTGACACCCGGCACACCGTCCATTTGAGGAGATGCTCGCTGCAGAATTCCTAGGCCGAAATGCGTTAGCGACGGTTTACCCACGAGGATAGAAAAACCAGAAACCACAATGCTTGCAGAGTATACAGACCATGCCAGTGGATCGTCGTGTCTACGGGGAGGTTGTTCTGGACAAAGATTTCCAAACTATCTCCCTCATCAACGTCGATAAGAGGTCCAGGTTGCTGTCCATTAATGAGATAGACTTCGCGGGAGACGCCATCTGTAAACAACAATAAGTATCAAGCCGCGTTAAAATGCCGTGGCAAACCATTCGCCTTACCTGGAGCTCTTGTTTCGCTGTGAATCGTGAAATTGTAACTCCTTAGTGCTGCAAACGACAGCGACGACTGATAAAGTAGTAATACCACGGAGAGGAACGCGAAGCGAGAATAATTCATTTCAATTTTCAGCGACATGTTTGTTCAACAATTTGGCGGGAACATGTCTAAAACATCGGTCCTAATGAAGCCGCTTTTAATCAGGCTGCGATTCTGGTATTGCACACAGGGGCACTGTCTTGCGATATTTGTGCGGCGCTAAGGCTCATACCTGAAAACCCCCACGACGATCGAGGCGTGGCGTTCGGTCCGTACGCCAATCAACGCAGGCGAAATGACCAACTTGACGCATGTTGCCGGAAGTGATCGACCTGTTGCAGAGAGTGCAACAAGGAGGCCTTAATTTGGGTGGCGTTCTACCTCTATTCACCCTGCAATTATACAATCAAGGTTATTGGTAGAGCTGACGTGGCAGACGCTTAGGTTTGTAAGCTCAATAAATCTAATCTCGGCGACTCGTCGAACTGTACCAGACGTAGTGTAGCCAGGGTTGCTCGTTGAACCTCGTCCTCTAACTTATAGGTCTCGCTTGTTGGCCATCAAGTGGGCTACCATCCGGCAGCTCTCCTGCGACGGCAACACCGGTTTCCTAAGCCTTATCCGGCAGCCGCACTCGGCATGGACCTCGAAAGAGCGCCTACACTTATTTCTCATCAATAATTGCAAATCAGTTCTGTGGACAACATATTCTTTGATATAACCGCCACTTATGGAAAGGTCTTGTAATTGGCCCGGCCAAAGCCTCTACGGACTGCCGGAAAAGGTCTTCTTCTCAGAGGAACTGGGACAATTACATAACGAGCGACTGTTGATTGAATCAAGACCCGACCCTGGCTGACACAAAAACGAGCGACATTCACACTAAGTACAAATAACATGGTGACGATTCAGTGACCAGCACTGAATGGCGACACAAATGATTGGAAGGATCAAGACTGTCCTGCACGTTTTCTCTTAAACTTCCCCCTTAGTATCAAGCGAAAGAACGACAGAACCAATTCGTCACGGCTTAGCCGCTGTAAATTCCCAAGTGCTCTTTGTATCCGTGTATTCTTAGTGCTCAATTGAGCCAAGAGCCAATTCGCCAAGAAAACCACCAGCGAGAACAGCAAGCAGATACCCAAGATTGAATGTCATCACTGCTAGCATGCTGAATGAAAGCGAAAATTAATTCAAGGTAGTGAGAATCGTGACGCAAGGGTGATACTCACAGCAGGTAGCCTGTCGCCATGCTCGTAATCTGGAAAAGTCCCTTCGTGACTTGTATTATGGCATTCCACTGAGGGCCATGGTTGACATCTCCACCAGACTGTCCCATTTTGATACAACTGTCACCTCCATCATCGCTGCAACGGCGACTCGACCGCGGATTCCAGCGCCTCTCTACCATGCCCCTTATCGTACTCAGGAGACGGAGAAAGACAGCCAGAACTACGAGCAGGATGATGGCTCCTGCATAGCCCTGGTTGCTTGTAGGTGTCAGTGATGTAGTCCAAAGCGGATCGCCAAGCCCAAAATGAAAGGCGTTGGACATCCCCGCAGCAGATGTCATCGAGCCCATTTCAGTCATGGGAGGAACCGAAGCCTTCTCTTCACTGTGGATTGCACCGGCTGTTTCCGACGCCGCTGGCAGCGCATTGAACATTGTCGCAGCTGTGAGAACTATAGCTGTCGTGGGGTTGCCGCGATTTGCAGAACTCGTTCCCGGCAGAGCCGTCATTTCTGTAGGCTTGGTTGATTCCATCGGACCCATTGGGCGCTCCATTCCGGGCATGTCCATGATGTTTCAGAGATGTGTGATGTTGCGCTTCTGGTGGTTGAAATATGTTGAAAAGGTCTTCCAGGCTGGAAAGAGAAACGAAATGGACAGCTACGATGATATTCCCCGGGCAACTTCAACAAGGAGAAATCTGGAGTTGGCCGGCTTTATGTAGGGCCATGGGCGTGCCGCGCAGTTTAAAAATAGTCCATAGAACGCAGCGCGTGGTTCAGTTGTTTCAGTTACGGCCTGGTTGCTGCCCTGGGACTGGAACGAGTAGCCTCATGTACTGCGACTGTCATTGAAACACCGACTGAGACAGGACTTTCCATTTATTAGGATCAACGTTGCTGCAAGGGATGCTGTGAAAACACTGTCAAGGTTCGGGTGAGAAACCTATCGTGCGCTCTCAAGATCCTAGGTTAACTATCACGGAGTTGTAGCTACGAGTCAACTTAAAAGCGTAATTGTGCTTGGATCGAGAGGATTCTACTACGATTTGGAAAAATTTTTGAATAGCTGTTGGTTTTACTGTAGTGTGCAGGGGATGAGACAGAACTCCCTTTTGAAATGACCAGCAATGCCGGCCAAAATGCAAGAGCTGCTGCCTTGATCGTCTTTGACCCTGACTCAATGATGACTTTAGCCCTTCAAACTCCCGTACTCCTTCTCTAAACTACATTGTAGCTATGCAGTGATGATGTAACGATTCATATCATTCACAAACGGGGAATGACACGCTATTGTGTGTTGATGAAACCAAAGCTACATGTTGCAAACAAGTTATTACTTAGTATCTCTATAGCATCGCTTACGTTGCAAGTCTATACGGCAACATTCCTCTTAACACTTCCCATCCGTCTCGTCTTCGATGATTCTCCCCTCAATGACCTTTTTCCCACTCATCTCAATAGCCTGCCTTACAAGATCAAACTCCACGTCGTCGGCAACCGTCACATTGACTTTCTGTTTTTCAACAGATGCATCGACAGAAAGAACATTTTGCATGGACGCGACGGATCGCTTGACTGCGGAAGCGCAACCTGCGAATCTCTTAGCTTTGCAACATCGGGTCACGACGGTGATGCTCACCTCCACAGGACATTTGCACGTCAAACTCATAAGCTCTTGTCATACTGGCTTAAGCTTCGGGTACTTCTGTAGTGAATTGTGCGCGTGTCTCGACAGGTTCTCTAATAAAAGACATGGATGAGCAGGCCTTCTTATATTCCAAATCTCTTATATCGGACAAGTTCGACGATTACACATGGACAAGAAAGGTATTCGGCCGAAGCTGTTTTGCGGGGAATTCGCTTGACAAGATGTTATTTCTGTCACGGTATGCTTAGAAGGAAACGTGGTTGAATGCGACATGGATGTTTCAAAAGGCCCCAAGTTACATACACCCCGCGGCGAAATCAGCGTTGGAGCGAATAAGGCCCGCGAAAAGAGCTCATCTTGTGCGGCGAACCAAGGCAATGCGCTATTTGTGCGGCAACATTGAATGCGGTATTTATGCGGCAATGCGGCAGGCTACGTTGTTTTTGCGCCAACGGTGTATCCAGAATTAGTCTTGTGGCCGGATTTGAAACTTTGGCTTACGCATCAAGTCATGGCACAACTGTTTCGCGCGTGACGCCTGTTCAGGCTTCTTTGCGCCTGTGAGCGGTGCGTTTCTCTTCAATGTTCATGGAAGGTTGTAGAACTACCAGGTGCAAACCAAAGCTGTCGCTACAGCCCAGTTTGCTGTTTTCTTGGACTTCGAGCAGCTTCTCCTGTGGGAAGTATAAAAGTGCCTTATGTCTCGTTTCTAGCTCCGATTGTTATGTCCCAGGCATGGCAACAGTATAAGCTCATTGCAAGCATGGACGGACCATCTGCACTCTCGCCTGCACCATCTCGCACCACATTTCTCGTTCCCAGCATTCATTGTCCCACATGTACTTCCTTCATTGAAGACCTGCTGGCTGGCCTTAAACCAAAGCCCGAATCCGTGGAAGCGTCAATCTTATCGCACAGCGTTACCGTCACGCATGACGCCTCACTCACACCCCGCGTAATCGCCAGCACTCTCGCCAACTCGGGCTACGAAGTGGTTTCCGACAGTGTCTCGGGTGGATCCGCACTTCCAACTAATACCGCGGGCGGTGATGATGACTTCCCGTTTGTATGGCTGAACCGGATTACGGAGCGTTGGCAGCGTAAACGGGAGGTCGCCGCCGAAGAGACGAGGAGACGCCGACATAAAGAGCACTGTCAGCAATGTCGATCCGGGATAGATGCCAGACACAAGGACAGCAGGGAAAAAGCCTCACGTAGCGGGCCACCTTCTCCCCAGACTGGAACAAATCGTCCGTTTGTGGTGGTTGAATCCGCCTCCGCGACCAGTGATGTTTTCGATGCGTTGATTACCATATTTGGCATGAGCTGTAGCTCTTGTGTCGGCAAGATCACGTCGGCATTGGAGGAAAAACCCTGGGTTTTGTCTGCAAACGTTGCCCTCCTGACGCAAAACGCGTCTGTGAGATTTGAAGGGCAGCATTCCCCCGACGACCTAATCAGGGCTATCACCAGTCTGGGCTATGACGCAAGCTTGGAACATGTGGAAAAGCTGCCAGTCGTCCCAACCTCGAAATTGCCGGCGTCGAAGCTATGGAAAGCCTCACTGTCCATTGAAGGCATGACCTGCAGCTCTTGTGTCGGCTCAATTACCTCGTCACTTAAGAATCTTCCTTTCACGAAGACAGTTGACGTCAACCTCATCACCAGCAGCTGCACCATTGTATTTGAGGACAAAGACAACATCCTTCGCATCCGCGCCGCTATCGAGGAATTGGGTTACAAAGCTAAGCTGGACGACATATTGGATGCTACGAAAGATGAGGCTCAAAATTCGCGGAGAGCGGTGTTGATCCGTATCGACGGCATGTACTGCCAGCATTGTCCGGCACGCGTCACCGAAGCAATGAATCAATTCGGTGACCGAATAATTGTCGAGACCCCGGCTACCTTGCACAGCTCGCTACTAACCATCTCGTACGTCCCCGAGGCGCCTGGTTTTACCATTCGAGCCATCCTTGCAGCAATTTCGACCGCTGACGCGGCCTTCAACGCTACCATATATCACCCTCCGACGATTGAGGAGCGTGCAGCACAGATGCACCGCCGTATACGGCAGCGAATATTCTATCGGGTCCTGCTTTCGTTGGTTGTTGCGATCCCTACATTTATAGTAGCCATCGTCTTTATGACCTTGGTCCCTTCAACCAACCCAAGCCGCATGTACCTCATGGAACCATTCCGTGGAGTCACCCGCGCTGAATGGGCCGCATTTATCATGGCGACACCGGTTTATTTCTTTGCTGCTGATGTTTTCCACCGCCGCGCCATCAAGGAACTACGCTCCCTTTGGAGGCCTGGCAGTACGGTGCCAGTCCTGCGTCGCTTTTACCGTTTCGGAAGCATGGACATGCTGATGTCTTTTGGCACTACCATCGCCTATATTTCATCCGTCGTTGAGATCATCATCGCCTCTACCGCGCCAAACGCGATGAATATGAAAGGAAATGCGACTTACTTCGACTCCGTCGTCTTCCTGACCATGTTCTTGCTCCTTGGCCGCCTCATTGAAGCGTATTCGAAAGCGAAGACGGGGGAAGCGGTGACAACACTAAGCAAACTTCGGCCAAATGAGGCTTTGCTGGTGCTGCCAGACGATGGCACAAGAGGCGCCAGCCAGACTCGGAGTGTTAGTGCCGATGTTATTGACACAGGTGATCTCGTCAGGGTCGTCCATGGCGCATCTCCTCCTTGGGACGGTGTGCTGCTTGATGAAGTGGGCGAATTCGATGAGTCAAGTCTTACCGGGGAATCAAAAGTTGTCAAAAAGGCGGCTGGTGATGCACTATTCTCTGGAACTGTGAACAAGGGAGGGCCCGTCACGATTCGTACCACTAGCACTTCTGGAGAATCCATGCTTGACCAAATCATAAAAGTGGTTCGTGAGGGACAAGCGAAACGCGCCCCTATCGAAAGGCTGGCTGACACCCTTACCAGCTATTTCGTGCCAGTCGTGACCCTCATCGCTATCTCAACCTGGTTGATCTGGCTCAGCCTTGGTCTTTCTGGCAGCCTCCCAAGAGAATATCTAGATGTTGAGATTGGCAGCTGGCCGTTTTGGTCTCTGCAGTTTGCTATTGCCGTCTTCATTATTGCGTGTCCGTGCGGCATAGGCCTCGCGGCCCCAACGGCGCTGTTCGTCGGCGGCGGCCTCGCAGCTAAGCATGGCATTCTGGTGAAAGGCGGAGGAGAGGCTTTCCAGGAAGCGAGCAAACTGGACATCATTGTCTTTGATAAGACGGGAACCCTGACGCAAGGAGGGGAGCCCAAGGTCACGGATCATCAATTTCTTCCGCGGAATGATGATTCCTGGAGCGAGACTACGATCCTGAGTGTTTTGAAAGAACTTGAAGAGAACAGTAGTCATCCCATCGGCAAAGCTATCGTCGACTTCTGCCAATCTAGGGAAACGACCGTTGCCAGAGCCGACCACATAGAAGAGATAGCCGGAAAGGGTATGGCAGGCACCTTTAGCGTTGGGACGTTGCCAAACCAGGTCCAAGTACTAGCGGGAAATGAGGCGCTCTTGACTGATCACGACATCACCCTGGATGAAGATATATCCGCGGCTCTAGATCTGTGGAAGGGCCAAGCGAAGTCCATCGTCCTCGTGGCAGCAAGGCCCACAGCATCCACGGCGAAGTCTCCATGGAACGTACTTGCTATTTTTGCAACTTCAGATCCCCTGCGGCCAGAGTCCCGGCACGTGGTTGAAACTCTTCGCAGCCAAGGTGTGGATGTTTGGATGATATCTGGCGATAATGTCACCACTGCCCGAGCCGTTGGAGCCATGGTGGGCATCAGTCCAGAGAATATTATTGCTGGAGTGTTGCCGGAGCAAAAAGCTGACAATATCAAATACCTTCAAAAGAGCCAGGCAAATGTTAGGTCGGAGCCTTCCAGCCTAGGACGGAACGCCAACAAGCAAAGAGCTATCGTTGCTATGGTAGGCGACGGTGTTAACGATTCGCCAGCCTTGACCGTGGCGGACGTCGGAATTGCGATAGGGTCTGGCTCGGACGTAGCTGTATCTGCGGCTGAATTCGTTCTTGTCAATCCGAGTCTCACTACTCTTTTGACATTAGTTAGTCTCAGCCGTACGGTATTCCGGCGTGTCAAGTTTAACTTTGGCTGGGCTCTTGTCTACAATCTTGTGGCCATGCCCATTGCAGCTGGAGTCCTCTACCCTATACGTAGTAATGGTCAGCATATCAGACTGGATCCTGTCTGGGCTAGTCTGGCTATGGCATTGAGCAGCGTCAGCGTAATTTGTAGTAGTCTTCTGCTTAGGAGCAAAGTGCCTGTGGTAGGCTTCACGGAAAAAGTTTGGGCGCCGAGTCATCGGGATATGGAAACGTCTGAATAGCGCGCAAGTAAGCCATTGAATAGCACCAGCGTTGTATAAAGTACAATTGTAATATTTTGTTTGTGACAACTATCTACGCCATGTATATTACGAGTTCATCAAGGGTGAGGGCTCGAAGTGTGGTTGGCATCAGGGCCTGGATGCTTAATAGGCGGTCAAATCGCCTTGACCGGTTGCTGTAGTACCATGCTCTCTAGTTAGGGCTCTGCAAATCTGGGGCAAAACTGTCTGTGTGTAGATAGAGATGCAAGACAACGCCAGTTGCTATGCAATATTACCTTGGGTACAATTCTAGCCTCGCCACTCGCTGTGAGACAGTATTATGCCAATGCCCTGATATCGCCCCGTCGAACTCCCCATATGATCAAAACATCACGCAGCTAGCGGCGACGACTCTCTCCTCCCGTGCAAAATACTAGTAAGGTGTTTCTATGATGATTGCCCGACATAATGGAAGAGATAGGTCTCCTTTCAGTCTTCCATCTTTGAGTGCCGGTCATTGGCGGCAATCTCAAAGACACGCAAACCTGAAGCTGGCGGTTTATCCAGCTGCAAATCTTTATTACTTCCTGCGTCCGTGTCTGGATTGGACAGGTCCAACGAACTCTGAAGTACCAGCGTCTGGGTATGAATTGTACCTTCGTTGATATTTCGTCTGTGTCTTTTCCAAATCAATGGGCTATGCAGTCTAAATACTCGATTAACGGCGAGATTATCTTGGGAGAGAATGGCATTTGGGGAGAGATCTGCTTCTGGGTGTGGGAGGGTGGTGTTGCGATCTGATGATAATAATATAAGTAATTGGTTTTCTGCACAGTTCAAACGACAGTTTGTGGTATACCCTTATTGAGCGGCTCGGGAAATCCAGTGTCTCTGTGCTGGCAATGGACTTTTATTGATTTGAACGCAGAGGCCGCCGGCCGGATCTGTGGTGGTTTCGCGCTTCCATATGTACGTGTCACTCGAGCCCAGCTGCGAAACAAAGCATCGTATCAAGACAGAAGTTATACGATAATTAAAACACGAGTCATCTCTGGATAGGATAGAAGGGCAAGTAATATGAGGGGAGATAGTTTCCGAGGTAGGTTTATAACATGACACTCAAATATAGGCTGGTGTGAATCGTCGGGTAAATGTTGCAATTAAAGTCACTATCAGAATCTGGGACCTCGCTAATCACATATGCTTCTCACCGGCCTATAGCTTGTAATCCCCACTCTGCGAAATGACTGGCTGACGAATTGGCAGTCGATGATAACAATGAAAGGCAGCCTTACCTGTCGAACTAATGTTTGTCGCCACCTACAACTCCAATATTAGTGTCGAGAGTCCTTGCGGGACTAACACATCCCAGCGACAGGGACTTGGCAATAGAAGACAGTTCAGGCTACTGGGACATACAGCATAAACGCCGAGTTCCGTCAAAATTCTTTCGCTTTGCGCTAATTGTGCAGATGGTTCACCTCGAGCCTGGTTGAAGACGCTTGTACGGCAACCCCGAGGAAATGAGAGCGCATAATCCGCAAAAATCACTCATGATTCCACCAACATCCTTGCGAGTCTAGACGTTGGCATTATCACGTAAATGGGGAGGTAATTTTAGAATATTGGGTGTGTGTGTATTGTGTGTTGAAAAACCCAAGAAGTTACTTCCGCTTTAATTAGTCCTGTACAACAATCATATCGTTTTAAACGTGAATTTCCAGACAAGCGCCTTTTGGCTTGATAGCTACCACGTACATATTTGACATGAGTAAGGGAAGGGACTTGTCTGGCGGCCATTACATGGGCACCCGAGCTTCTTTGCGTACAAGATCCTGGAGTAGGCGCGCAGGAAGAAAACGACCGTTATGACGAACAATAATACAGCGGTCAACGCAACGGTCGTGACATTCCATTCTCGTGGCTGGTCCAAGCGCGACACGACACCCGGAGGAGTCGGCGCAAGAGGCTTGTTTAAGATGGCCTCCTGCGCCTCTTTCAGGAGGTTGTCGAAGTCAATGGCCATGTTCGTGGTGCGAGAGTGATAGGGTATATCTGGCTGCCAACGTGCCTACATACACGGAAGAAATGGTGGCATACAAAAAGGCAATCAAGCGCTAGAAAAGAGATTTGTGATAGAAAGAAGGCATGAAATATACCACGGTGAATACCTTTTACAAACACATGCATTTAACTCGTAGGGTCTATGCCACCGGGTGTGGCCTCGTCCAACTCCCGGCTTCCATTCCACAACTTGCTTTGCTTGATGCAATAAGAAACACTCATCACTGTGGCCTGTTTGAAGCTGACCATGCGATGCGACCCCAGTGGCTCGGCGAAAGACGTCTACGTCCAATCCCGACAGCCTCGTTGTTGTGATCTGCAACACCTTGTCTCAAAGGCCGCTTTTGTCACCTTGCTTACCACATAGCCCCCAAGTGCTTCCTGCTCGCCTTGTATTAAATAAAGGCAATTGAGCGTTGGCGTCCGTATCAATTCGCGGTGGCGTGCCTATCAATTGCCTAAATGAATACGGTTGGCACTCTATACTTGCGCCGCCCAACTGGTTCTATGGCAGAACCGTCATAATACACGAGCCTTATCAGAGACCTTTAACACCCTGTAGAGCCCTAGTATTCCCTTTAAGCCTAATATATCTCAGGAAGCGACTAGTAGTGCGACACATATTGGCGGTTTCTAGAAGAAACTCCCGTACCTTTTACACTCCTCGCCAGCCAGCACAAAATCACGTCTTTAAGTCCCACCACATTCAGCTTTACGTTCAGAGGCGCAAATACCCACGCCATCCCGGAGAGCTACACTCCCAAGCCGCACCAGACACCAGAAACCGCCGTTTTGTCTCCCTTCATTTTCTCGGCAGCTTCCGAAGCATCCCTGACTACGTATCTCAAGTCCTTCAAGGAGTTTCTTGCCGCCCAAAGACATGAAATAAACATGCGAGACTTGTTATTCACTCTGCATTCTCGGCGAACTCGCTTTCCATTCGCCGCCTCCTTTTCGGCTCCCTCGCCGGATGTACTCCTCTCCAAAATAACTGAGAGAATCGACACAGTAAGATCCCGTACAAATGAAAGCCTGGGAGTTCGGGCTGCGCAGATTTCGGACAGCCGTCTTCGTATCCTGGGCATCTTCACCGGCCAGGGCGCCCAATGGGCACGGATGGGCGCCGAGTTTATTTCCAGCTCGCCGGCGGCCAGGAAGATTATTGATAGGCTAGATGGTCGACTGGCCCGTCTCCGTCATCCCCCGTCCTGGACTATGGCGGCAGAGCTCGCCAAAGACGCCACTTCCTCCCGGATTGGCGATGCTACCTTATCCCAGCCACTCACTCTATCCGTGCAGATCCTCCTTGTCGATATTTTTGAGGCCGCCGGAGTCAGATTCACTGCTATTATGGTTCATTCATCCGGCAAGATCGCAGCTGCCTACGCTGCAAAGCGCATCTCGGCTGACGATGCCATCTGCATGTCGTATTATCGTGGATTAAGCGTGGCCTTTTCCACGCAACACCAAGTTAGAGATGGTGCCATGTTGGCCGTGGGAACGAGCCAAGACGACAAGGAAGAGCTTCTTGAAGAACCAGAGTATGTTGTCTCTCCGCAAAATGTCACCGACGCATCATGATCCCATCCCCCCTACTTGGCCCACCGAGTGATGGCCTGCTTTGGAACACCAGTCCCGCGTGGTTCCAAGAATTTGAAAAGCAGAAAACTAATTTCGGGTTCTAGGTTTAAAGACCGTGCCTGGATCGCGGCCGTCAATTCATCCTCCAGTATTACCATATCCGGCGATTCGGACGCTATTCATCAGATACAGGCTGTGCTGCAGGATGAGAAGAAATTTACTAGGCGCCTCAAGGCTGACAGGGCGTATCATTCACCGCATATGCTCTCCTACTCATCAGAATACACAGCCTATCAGAAGAATATGAGCATTCAAGTAAATCCGGCGTCTCGAACCGAGTGGTTCTCCAGTGTTTCCGGGGAACACAACTCTGCCCTCCACGATGAGTTGAAAGGGCCTTACTGGATTGGCAACTTGATCAATCCGGTACTCTTCAAACAGGCCGTGGAAAAGGCTTGGAGCGACAGCGGCCCGTTTGACATGGCAGTCGAGATAGGGCCGCATCCGGCCTTGAAAGCCCCCGTTCAGCAAGTAATCCAGGACATTACGGGCCGTGGGTTCCCCTACGTGGCGCTTCTGCAACAGTGAATGAATGATCTAGAGTCTCTGGCCGACGGAATGGGCTCTATTGCTAGTCATGTCGGTAGAGGTTCCGTCAATCTCCAGGCCTATGAAGCTTTCCTTTCCGACCATGCAACATTCCACACGCTGCAGGGTCTTCCCCCTTACTCTTGGGACCACAGCAAGGAATACTGGCACGAGTCACGATACGCCCGGGCCCTTTCCCATCGATCCGACAAGGCACATGAACTCCTCGGTCATCTGACCCCTGATTCGTCGGATCGGGAGATGCGATGGAGGCATTCCATTTGCCCCAAAGAGGTGCCATGGCTATCGGGACACCGTGTTCAAGGCCAGACGGTATATCCGGGGGATGCATTCATCGTCACTGTCGTGGAAGCATGCTTGAAACTCACGGGAGAACAACCAGTCTCACTGATCGAGGTGCTCGACATTGTCATGGGTCAGGCCCTGACTTTAGACGACGACGCCCCTGTAGAAGTTGTCTTTACTCTGTCCGATATTGAAAAGCAGCAAGAGTCGTCTTGCATCATGGGAACATTTAATTGCAGTGCCGCCAAAGGTAAACTCGACACGTTGCTTGATTCCCTTGCACATGGCCAGTTTCGCATCCTCCTTGGTACTGCCTCGAGCACCGCACTGCCAGGGGGCAGCTCTCAGCCCACCAGCCTCGTTGATGTCGACTCTGGGGATTTGTATGCTTCTTTGGACCACTTGGATTATGAGTTCTCGGGTCCCTTCAGAGTCCTGTCGGGTCTCAGGCGAAAGCCGGGCTTATCAACTGGATTCCTTCCGGGGAACAATACATTGTCTATGCTAGTTCATCCTGCCATGCTGGACGCCTTATTCCAGTCTATTGTATTGGCTGCCAGTGCCCCAAATGACGGAAGAATGTGTGCGGCACACATACCAAATCATATTGACACAATCAGAGTTAACTCTCATTTGCGTGATGCCTAGCGTAAAAGCAAATTGCCACCGGCTTTTGAGGCGTCTTGTGAGCAAAGTAGTGATACGTCTTTTGTCCTGGGCAATTCCAAGTTGTTTCCTGAGGGATCTCACTACTCAATGATGGCCGTGGAAGGGGCGAATCTGGTTGCACTCTCACGCGTACGGCAGATAATGATCGAGTCATGTTTTCATCCCACTCTTGGGGTCCAGCATCGCCTCGAATGGCTTCCCGCCGGTATATTGTCTATAAGAGATGAGCTGAAATGAATTTAGTGTACACACATCAGGCTAGTTCACAATCTGACTTGTCGCCCGTGACATCTAATATCTAACCTCATGTCAAAGGTTCCGGCAAAAGCCTAGACTAATCTTCTTCTCGGTGCTACTTGATATCTTGTGCTTTGTTCCTCACGCACTCGGAGCGAACCCGAGGCGACGATTGCCAACGTCATATACAACAAAGGCTGCTTGAAGAGCGGGAGTTCCAAAAATTGTTGTTTTGCCGCGTTGAATTGCAGAAAGGCAAAACCCGTTCTGAGGTAGACCAGTGGGACCAAGGTCTAGGTACTTTCCGGGAATAGTAATGACGGTGTTCTCAACGTTGAATGAGAAGTCGGGCAGCGGGTTGCCACATTTAAACGAGTATTGAAAATTGCCACCGCCAGAACTGGTTGGCACCTTCCTGTAATAGGCCTTCGCAACCGCATCAGGAACAAATATCGCAGATGACCCCGTGTCAGCTACGGCTTGAAGTTCTAGCACCTGAGCTGGGTCATCCCCGATTTTGTACCCAGTGCTGTTGAACATCCAGTGTTGATCGTGAGTGACGGGCGTATACGTGATGCTTCCAGTGTATTTAGTGTTGTCGATGAACCCGAAATCAAGAGAACCTCCTAATTGCTTCAGTCAGCTATGTCACATGCAGCATGGAAGGGTATAATGCGTCGTACCGCCGTTAAACTTGAAGTGGGACGTAAATAACGGCTGGTCCAAAGAATTGATGTGAGTACTAGACCATGTTTTCACATGCTCTCCCGCCTGGTTAACACCAGTCTGGTCGGGACGGAATTCCAGTCCGAAGATGCCAGAAATTTTCGGATCAACATTGTAATCGCTCCGAGAAGCCGATTCGATAGCCTGCTTAGGAAAAGGTACACCCCCAAGTGTCACAACATCCTCGTAGATGTTGGTACCGTCGGCATTACCTGTTCCGTACTGTATCTTCCACGTGTAGCCAGTAAGATTACGGGCAGTCGTGCTCTTCGCTATATCCCACAGCTTATGATTGTTCCAGCCTGATCCAGTATCCGTACTGTACACCCAAAAGTCGGTGGAACCAGTATCAGGCACGAGAGGCAACTTCTGGGGTGGAGTACCAAGTTCGACTTCGACCACAAACTCATTCACCTTGCCCGGAATTGGCTCAGCAGCAAGAGAGAAAGTCGACGCAGCCACCTCTACAGCGCTGAGGCTTATGGATGCAAAAGCAAGTGTTTTGAGCGAAGGCATGTCGATCAGTGGTTGAGTCTCGCTAGGAGGTGGTTGTAGGAATTACTTTCAAAGAGTTTTTGAAAAGGTGCTATCAGAGGCAGCTCGGCTTAGATGATGGATAATTTGTGACTGGACTGTTGTGTACAGTTCCAGCTTGAGCAGCCGGTCGAGCCATCTTTATAGAAATAGCGATGCCGAAATAAGCCTCCTCACAGGCCTGCAAATGTAATACGCATAAATCCGAGAATTGACTGTAATTTCCGTCTTGAAACTTTTCTTGTATTAGTCGAATGAGAATACTAGGCATGTTTTACTATCTGCAGGACTCGAAAGGTCCGCGATTGGTCCAAGGTGATTGCTGGCCGGGCATATCTGGGGCGGCATATCACGACATGAGCTTAAACCCGGCAGTCCCGGCCGGTGGGAGTACCAGACGTTTGTGCATATGGTGCCAGCATATAAAACACGCGGCGTCGGGCTCAGAACTGCCGGAACAACGGTTCAAGACCTTTCAGGAAGGTGTTAAAGATGCATGTGAAGCTAAGCGTGGCTTGCACGTGGGCGGTGCACTTTATTAGCACTATATTTAGAGGAAATGCTCTACGGAGTCATCGGCAGTTTTTGACTACCAGACCTTGACTCGTGTCACGTCCCACCTTTTTGTTTCTCGTGTACAACTTATCCGGCGTTTTCCCATGGCTATATTCGGACTAGAGCAACTTGTACTTCTTTCTGCTCTAGTGGAAACGGACGACGAATTGCGCCTGCGATTATGCCTAATTGGGCTTAGAATAGACCAGGCTTTATTGACGTGATTTAAGAGACGTCGATAGTAAGAAAGCTGGCTACACCGCCTTTGTTGAGAAGTCAATACCTATAGGTTTTTAGGTCAGAAAGGCATGGGCAGGGGCAAAAGTCATGCCGGTAAAGTCATCCCCGTTTCCAATGCACTATCAGCTGTTTGTTCAGGAATGCTTGTCGTAGGCAGCTTGTGTGACACCAGACGCTTTGCTTTGGGACTATTGCCACCACCGGACCGAAACAACCGTCTACAAGACCATTCGACTCAGCCACGAGACGTAATGCTCCTAGCATCAATGCACGCCAGGTTCATGTTGACCAGCTTCCCTATCCGGATCAGCGTGAACCGCCGACAGGCATGACTTGAAAAGATTTCATGTTCCCTTAATTGATCACGACATCAATAGATGAGCCTAGGCTCTGCAGACTATCAGGGTAGCATGGCCATGCCATCGAGCCTGACTCGCGGAATATTAATAAATCTCGGCTGGCGTTGCCATGTATATAAGGCCATGGGGAATTCACAGGAACTGCACGGGATGAAACGTTCCAGATAAACTCCCCAATCGTCTGATATAGCGTTACGGACCCTGCTCGACAGGGCATCGATCCACTGAGCACCCTGTTATCTTAGCATCGCAATAAACTTTGTGGATCCATGTCCTAGCCAGATCTACAGGCAGAATGTGGGAGCAGCCGAGTGGCCCGAGTCCAGGGGTATGTCTATTAGGAGCTTATGCATATGGGCTGCATATAATAACTGGCGTATTTTGGTTAGAGACCTTATACCCTACACGTTTAATATATTTTATTCTTCCAACTAAACAAGCTTTTTAAAAAACGGCTAGATGCACAACTCTAGTAGCACTGTATTTGGCCGTACCAGGCAACCGTACTTAATAATAAAAACGTGAAAATAAAGGAATATCGCGTTTTCGACGCGAGTATATTGAAATACGATGTACAGGCATAGCAGGCTGCATATGTGTCCGTGACGGTTTAGCCCGATATGGGCTACAGTGCTAATATATACATGAAAATGCTTCCAGACTATGGCTGGACGGGATAAACGAGTTGTCAGCCCTATTCCATAGCAAAACGTAATCGTCTTGTATCAACTATTAGTTGGAGTAATTTCCCCGGCGTTATGTACATACAACACTCTGCTCCATCCAAGCCCACAATCCCGATTCCGCGGTCCCCGTCTCATGACATCGAGGAATGCGAGTCCTTGTGGAGTGTCAGATCCAGGGCTTAACAACCAATCGGATACTGTTGACCTTAATTTAGTCGGTGATGAGCGGGGGATCAATTGTACCAATTACCCTGTCAGGTACAAAGAGCTACATTGCATTGAATTACACCAATAATTCCATGTTATTTGCTTGGCACGCCTTTTAAAGAACCAGACACGTCAAGTGCGTACTCCCCGAGTAGTCGCAGCCTACACGGTAGCCAGCGTTGGTCCGTCTATAGTCGATGTGCTTCCAGTCGGTAAGATTACAGCAACATTGATGGCCTCGACCTTGACAAGGGCCCACCCGGCCCCTGGGACAACCGGCTTGGGCACTTCAACAATGGAAACAAGGCTTCTGCCTTGCGCTACAATGGCTTTCATGGTCGATTTGTTTTCCTTGAAGAGGTTGATCCTGAACCCTTTGGAAATGGGTAAGGTGACTGGCAAATCTTGGTTCAGACCGTTGGCCAGATGGCCGCTACTACGTGGACTCAGGTCTACACCAACAAGATGCAGCAAGTTCGAGACCCTAATAACCAGACTCTACCCCTCGATTGCATCGCATCGGGCTCGGCTGACCACAGCACAAAGTCGTAAAATATCGATGCTCTAGATGCATAGTACAGTAGAAGGTTTCGATTTCGGCTAATGCTAGTTCGGGACGGCCCCCAATGGAGTCAATACTTGCCCTCGGCCCAGCCCGTATTTGTATAACTGCATCGAGTAGGCATGAGGCTGCGGTGACATCGATGCTCATCAATGGTAGCTCGTCAACGGCACCCTCAAGTCAAGTACCAGACGGCAGAGACTCCGCGACCAAGCGAGCCGTCCTCTACCGAATTTAACTCTGGTCGCTCAACAAGCCACCCAAACCGCAACTGTCAAGACGCTTTGAGAAGACGCAGCCGCGCCGCTTCAATATTCTTTTTTTTTTTTTGGTTTTTTTTTGGTTTTTTTTTGGGTGCTTCGTATACCATCCTCGAATTGAACAGGCCATGTCGGCACCAACAGATGGCACTGAGTTGCCCCCGGGCTCCTTCGATGACCGCTCTCCTCCCTTGGTGGCTCTCTGCATTGCCATGATTGTCGTCATCTTGGTCATGATCGTACTTCGCTTTGCCTCGCGGCTCATCGCAGAGAGCTCGCCTGGGCATTTCAAAAGTCTTTGGTGGGATGATTGGACAGCTTTAGTATCCACGGTAGGTTTTGGATTTGGCCCTGGCCGTCGCGTGACGTTTGCTAACCCGCGACTTACTGGTCATCAGGTATTCATGTTGGTGCAGCTCGTCATGAGCTTGGTCATGTTCGACTTGGGATCCGGAAAGCACATTTGGGTCGTGCCGCCCGAGAACGTCGTCAAGATTCTGCGCATGCTTTTCGCCGTCTACTTCATCTACGACATACATCTCGCCATGGCCAAGGCATCCGCCCTGTTTTTCCTCGCCCGCATCTTTCCTCCCAACGTGTCGCCGCCATGGTTCAACAATGCCGTCATCATCACCCACGCCGCCAACGCTGCCTGGTTTATTGGCATTGTGTTGGGCACCATCTTCCAGTGCAAGTCGCTCAGGAACTGGCACCCAATGCTTCCTGGGAAATGCACCGATGCGTCAGTGCTGTTCATGGGCAGCGCCATTCCCAGTGTCGTCATCGATCTTGCCATCTTGCTGATTCCCATGCCGAAAATATGGGGTTTGAAGATGACGCCCTGGAGGAAGATGGCTGTGATTGGCATCTTCACGATCGGTTACTGGTAAGCATTCTATCTATTGAATATTCTCAACCGGACCATTGGAAACTAAATCGCCGCAGCTCCATCGTCGTATCCCTAGGTCGACTGGTTACCGTCATCAAGATGGGAGATGGCATTACTCGCGACATTACTTGTGAGCCTTTGCAGTACAGACCGTGCTTTGTCATTTCCACTCTAATTCGCAAACAGACGAGGCTGCGCCGACCTTCTACTGGTTCACCATCGAGACGCCGGCGATCCTTATCAGTATCTGCATTCCGGCCATATTGTCTCTGTGCCGGTTCTTGGACGCTTTATACTTTAAGCCTTTGGCAAGCAGGATCTCGTCGGCGTGGTCGAGTCAAAGCCGAGGAACTCTCATGACCGAGCAGTACGACAACGCCGTTTCCTCGCGTATGGCATCCTCCAAGTCAAAGTACGTCACTGACTCTGAGCTCAACACCAGCGCCCCCAACGAGAGTCAAAGCAGAATTTGTTTGCCGTCGCAGCAGCATGGCCACTACTCGGTCGAGGTGAGTGGATGGGAGATGCAGGGTCAGTCGCCACGTCGTCAGAGCACAAATGACGCCATCAGAGTGCAACAGGACGTGGAAGTAAGAGCATCGCCATGGTAAAAAGCATGCAACGGGGAGCAGTGTCACTGGCCTAGTCGGCGACCTTGGCGTATACTGTCTCGTCTACTAGTGGTGACTTGCGAATTGGTGGTGAAGGTGGCGATATAAAGTGTCATCAGACCAACACACCTCATTTGCTTTGCGTGTATGCGCTTAATCAGGTGGCCCTTCCACCCTCAGATGTGGCTGTACAGTGTGATTTATTATTAGGGTAAATGTGAGGATATGGTATTAAATGATGACCGAAAGGCCGCTATTGAGATGCCAGTATTTGTGTCTAATACACCAGGGTACATATGTCCGGTATTTTCCCGAGCACAGAGGGAACCGCGCACACCGATCTCACAAAACACCACCTACATATACCCACTACCCCATTCTTGTCCATTTTATCTATCCACAGATTTCTGATCAAAGCATCAATCGCTGTGTAATCCAATATTCCATGACCGATCCCGGACGACAGAAATATCAAAAACGAAGACTCTTGAGATTGTGGCAATCATGCCGCGACCCAGCCAAGATGGGCTAGAATGGAAAGAGACACTGTTTGACCTCGTGCCGCAATGGACGCGAGACGTTTCCATCACTGCGATTGAAAGCGTATGTCGCCAGCAATTGAATATACTCCCCAAAGATTCCTGTACCGTCGCCTTTCACGCATGCGGCTTGTTCAATAAACTCTACTTGGTCAAATGTACCAGAGGCCCTCTCATAATGCGTGTCTCGCTTCCGGTATATCCACGGTACAAGACGCGCGCAGAGGTAGCCACCTTGCGATGGGTGTCAGAGAACACCAAGGTCCTGGTCCCCAAGGTGTTTAGTTTTGACGACAGCAACGACAATGAGATTGGGTATGAGTGGATCCTCATGGAACTTATGGAGGGCACATCGGCATCTAGACGGTGGCGGACCATGTCGATGGAGCAAAAGGTGGCGCTTACGAAGCAGATTGCGGCATACCAGGTGGAGTTGTCGGGAGTTGAGAAGCTAGGGTCCGTATTCAGGAGCATAGGGACTTTAAGTACGAGCGAGGTCCGACAAAAAAAAGGCGTTGGAGATGCGGAAAAAGTTGTCCCTGGCCTACTGGTATCCAATAACTTCTTTATGGGCGATCACCTTCATTACGATATTGCACGGGGTCCCTTCCGCTCTAGCCACGACTGGCTGAGCGCCGAGTTGGACATTATCCTCATGCACAAGACAGCAGTTCTCGACAAGACGGAGGATGAAGACGACAAGGAAGACGCCGAGATGGTCTTGCTAGTAGCAAGAAAACTTCTCTCTCTTGTTCCCAAGGTTTTCCCCCCGCATGTAGACGAGCCGGAGACAACAGGACTCTACCACCATGACCTTCATCTAAACAACATCCTAGTAAACGAAAAAGGCGAAATCACGGCCATTTTGGACTGGGAATGCGTCTCGGCATTGCCCCTCTGGATGTTCACCAAGGTTCCTAAGTTTCTTGACGGGCCAGTTCGGGAGGAGAAGCCGCAGCGGGATATGTATGCGGATCAAACACCCAAAGAGTCTGCCATCGCAGCTAGAAGGCGTAATAAACCGGGCTACTTGGACAGCGATGGCAAGAATGAGCTGTATTATATTCACATGATGGAGTACGAGCTAACCCAACTGCGGAAAGTCTACGAGGCCAGGCTGAAGGAATTGTGGCCGGAGTGGCCTTATAAGGAGAGCTATGTGAAGATTGACTTCTTCCAGGCAATCGCGCAATGTGACGGGATATGGGTGAAAAAGGCGAGCAGATGGGCCGATTATATGGAGAAGGCGACGTGCTCTTTGCGATAAGAGTACGCACTGGAATCTAGGCCATGGAAAACCTCGTCCCGCTTAATGCTAACATTGAAAGCTTGTGGGATGCTCCTGAACTATTTTTGGGGATGGCCTGCGTATTATAATACAGCTGCATAGCAAATATATAGAATCTCGGTATATAAGCCGTGGTAAACTAAGCCCGCTTTCGACAGATACATAACGCTAGCGGCGCTGACCCGAAGTCGGATCGCGTACCGTACATGGTGATTTGCTTTCTCTTTTTCTCTCTGACTCTTTTTAATTTTCTTTTTAGACGTCCTTAACCTTTATACTATATCCTGGCTCCCTAAATGCAAAGAAACGAGGGACCTGCGCCCCCCGGTACCCCCCACAGCTAGGATGCCAGCGCAAGCTTATCAACGTCATGAAAAACCTCTCTTTGCATTTTTATTTTCATGTCTTATTATATTAGACATAATATATAAATCTATTTATTTCTAAGCCCTTAAGTGTGCGTAGGATCTAATCCTTTCCCCTATCCTTTATATTTAAGCTTACTTTAGTTGTAAGTTAATTTAGATTAAACAGCGTCTTAAACATAATAGGAGAGAGTTCCGCAACACAAGATATGGCATTTTGACTTGTAGTAATTGCAAATGATAGTAGCAAATTTGGTAATTGTCATATTTAGCCAAAAACGCTGCTGGAATGGAATATTCAAGCCGTACTCCTTAAAAATCCAGTTACGCAACTCAGCGCCGATCATGCTATCCAGGCCATACTCAACTATAGGAAGGACCTCGGGCTCAAAGACAATCTGGTTCGAGCATCAACAGGCGGCACAGCTTGGTGATGAAGTGCTCCGAGACTAGGCCAACACTAACCTGCAGCAAACTGGCCTCTTGGATGGCTTTGAGAATAGTGAAGCCGCTGCTGTTATCAGACGACCCGCGAGAGTCGATGGCCTGTGGCACAGCCTTGAAGCGCGCATCCTCTATCCAGAAGCTGTCAGTAAAGTCACTTCTCGACAGTGAGCTTTTAAGTTTGCTGGGGTCCATGCCGACGACAATATGGTCAGCCGGCGTCGTGGTGGCCTGCGTGGCGATGGCGGCCTCGAGGGCCTCGAGGAGGTGCGTCTCGTTAATACCGTAGATGCCCTTGCGTCGTAGCGCAGCCTCAATCTCGGGATTCTCGGCCACCACACCGACGCTCTGTACCATGGGAAGGACGAGAGAGACGGCGTGCTGGCCTCTAGCCATGCAGTTTCTTGCCAGGTTGTCGAGGAAGCTGTTCCCGGCCGCGTAGTTGGCTTGTCCGGGAGTACCCAGGATGCCCGAGGTAGAACTGGTGAAGACGAAGAAGTCTATATCGATCTCTGCAAAGGCTTGGTCTAAGTTCATAGCGGCGAGCGCCTTTGGTGCAATAGATGTCTGCCAGTCATCTATAGACATGGTGTGGAAAAGTCCGTGTTGAGGCAGTTAGCATCTCCTACTATTTTTGTGTGCGTTATTGGAACATGAGCAAAAATTGCCCGCAAAATTATAGCAGCATGGACCACGCTCTTTACGGGGGACTCGGAAGGAATACTACGAATAGCTACATCGATATCGCTCTTATTGGAAGCGTCACCCTTGGTGATCTGACACGTAATGCCCCTGGCCTCCAGACCGTGAATCCAGGACGCCGTCTGTTTGTTACCGAGGCCGGGTCTGGACATGAAGGTAAATCGTCTGGTACCACGCTTAATCATCCAAGCTGTTAGACAGCGGCCTATACCGCCGAGACAGCCAACCAGGAAGTAGGTCGCGTTGGTGTTAAAGGTGAGCTTGGAACGGTGAGGCATAACGGGCAGCCCCAGGCCGTCCACAATTTCGATGTACTAGATGAAAGGAGTCGGTGAAGGCCGCGATGGCCTTGTCGAAGTCGGCAAAATTCCTTTTCTCCATGGGACCGATGGCAGGTATGAGCTTCTGCCGGTAGAGCTATGTCGCAGTGAGCAAGTAGTCGGACAGAAGACGCTCCTTTTGCCTGTACAAGTCGAGAACATTAAAGGTCAAGTAGCTTGCCCCACGACTAGGTGGAAGGGTGTCGAGGGTGCTGCGCCTTAGACCTGTCTTTCGCCCTATCTCGATGAAACGACCGAACGCTGCAATTTGTCTCCAGCACTCATGTGAGATTGTTGGTGATACGTATGCCGAACTGAAGATGACATCGGCGACGCGTCCTCCGGTTCGCTCCTTGAATCGCATCATCAGATTCGAGTCGAGTTGGGGTATGATGTTCTCGGCGGGCAGGTCGAACGCAGCAGCCACTCTGGCGGCCTCCTCTACTGAACGCACCGCGACATAAGTCTGTGCCTTTGTTTTCTTGCTGATGGTGATGGCGGCAGCACCAGAATCTCCAGTCCCGTGGAGAATCAAGACAATTTCCCCTGCCTCAACTCTCGCGAGGGTCGTCAGCCCATGTATTGCGGTAGCATAGGCAAGTGGTAACGTCACAAGTTCTTCCGGGACATCGCCTTGTTCAGCCTTCTGTACCATGCTCGCCGAGACGGTCTGGAACGTGGCCAGTCTGTCAGCACTGAAGCCGAACACACGGTCTCCGACATTAATGACCTCAACATTAACCCCTTTCTGCACGACAGCTCCATAGATTTCATGCGAAAAGGTGGTGAGTGAGTCAGCACCCTCCATGACAAGAACGTGCTCCTTGTTGACACCAGACAGCATGACTTGAACATGGATTTGGTCGGCTCCAACGGTCCGGTCGTCACGTTCATCATGAGAGAATGTCACCTTTACTGCTTTGGCCGTGGCCACCAACTTATCAGAGGGCTTAAAAGGCGTGGCCTTGGGAATAGAATTCTGCGGCCCATACTCCTGGTTGAGCGTAGCGTCAGGCACGAGCCGACTTATGTCCACCAGCCCATCGGCGAGGCAGTATTCCGACTCCTTGTCCTAGGCGTGGTGGATCTGCCGGTCCAGAGCACGTACAATCTCGTTAATGGCATAATCCGTCGTCGTGCTGCCTAGGCCCAGATCCAAAGTGGTGAAATCAAGGGAAGCCATCTCAGACGTCACCGAGCGAGCGACGCCAGACGCCATGGCCTGCTCCGGCGTGGCCCCCTTCATGAGCCCACCCGCGGTGACCCAAGTATCGGAAGAGGCGTTGGAGACAATATTATGCAATCCGGCAAGCTCGCTAGGCTCCAGTTCCAATATCAGCGGCCTCTCTAGGTCGTAGGTAAGGACCACATGTTCTGAAGTAGCAATGCTAGCGTCGGCTAATCGGGCGAGCCACGAGGATCCAAGCGCATTGCATGCCTTTACCAGTTTGCAGGGGATTTCGGTCGGCTTGTTACGGTAGATAATGGCGATAGACCTTGTACGGACGCCGTTGATGCCGCTTGTCTTCTGTTCTGCCACGCCTGTGGCAATGGCAATGCCGTTGGACAGGTTCAAGATGGAGAAGTCTTTTCCGAGCGACGACAAGGTGGATTGGTCAGACACGATGCGGCCACCCGGGGCGAGCAACGAGGCAAGTTTTGAGGGATCGGTCAGAGTGCCTGGAATGATGAGATTGAATTGGCCTGCTTTCAACCCCTGTGCTTCGAGCCCTAGGACGGATCAACGTTTATAGCAGTCGCGTGATCAAACCCAGCAATAGTGTCCTCGAGGGCTTCCAACCCGGGCTTAGACGTCGCGGTCGCGGTGTAGTTGATCAGTTCCGTAGCTTGGCATATAGCAGTCGAGTTCAAGGCACCAAACTCCAGGACCCTTCCGCCAGGGTTCTTCCAGGCAGCCAAGGCCACCAGGTCCGCGAGACCGACAGACTTCACAGGGCTTGCTGATGTAAGTGTGTCCATGTCTACGTTCCAGCCCATCTTCATAAAAGGCTGCTCCTTCAGGACAGTCCCGCGGATCTGAGGAACAGCGGCCTCATAGGCAACACATCGCATACCTTCTAGAGAGAGCAACAGCTGCCCATCGCTCCCCACCAACTGGGTTTCATTAATGGTCAAGCGAACGCCACGCTCTTCGGTCCAGGAGTAAGCATTTGCCTCGGGGTTCTGCAGCTGGGCTTTTGTCGGTGGCTTAAAATGGAGCTTGTTAGTATGGTGTGTGTAAGTGTGAGAGGATGTTAATGTGTCAATGAAAACGTACCATAGCGAAACCTCATCCACTTGAACAGGAACAGAACCGCACGTCATGTCCTCCATCTTGCCAGCGTAGATGGACACGATAGTGAGCTGAAGGCACGAGTCGATTGTGGAGGGATGCAAGACGTAGCGTGACTCGCCCTCGATCAGGTCCGACGTCTTCTTGACGACTGATGACGCGGCGGCGTGGAAACGCTTGCCGTCGGTGCGGATGTCCTGCATATCCTAGAAAGACGGTCCGTAGTCGAATCCGACGTCCTTCAACGCCTGGTTCCACGCCTTGCGCGTGGCGCGCTGCGTCATGACCGGGAGCTTTCACGTTGATGTCAATAATGCCTGTCATGTGGCTTCTCCAGTGCCCGTCCTGGCTCCAAGACGACACCTGGAACGCCCACCAGTCGGTGTGGACGCCTGGCCGCAGACTGAAGAGCGTCTCGATGCCATAGTTGTCGTCGGGGATAACCAAGGCCGCTTTGATGATGACGTCGCGGAGAGTGTAGCCGCTGATTTCCACTGGGCTGGAGCTGGTCTCCTTCATTTGGGTCACAGCCTCGGTGGCCATGCCGAAGTACCTGGCAGCCGGGAACACTGCTTCGCCACCAAGGGAATGATGCTTCAACCATGGTAGGTCAATCTGACGCAGACGGTTCCTCCACGTGGGTTCGTTCTTTGATCCCCCGGGCATACGGCTTCCAAGCACATCGTGGCGGAGGTGTTGGGGGGCGCGTTGTTCCTTGGACTGGCGAGGCTCTGCCCACAGTTCCTTGACGTAGTTCCACTGATAGATGGGCAGGTCAACCAGCAGTTTTCCCTTCCTGATCTGGATCTTGTCTGGGGGAGGTCTCCTCGATGGCAGTGACACGCTCATAGTCGAGGCTGAAGTTGTTCAGGAAGAGCTGGCCGGCAAGATTGAACAATTGACTGGCCGAGTTACCACCCCGCTCAATAGTTAGGAGGTAACTCATCTTGTCAAACTTGTGCTCGTGACACATCTGCTTCACGGGCCCTTTGAGCGCAGAATGAGGCCCAATTTCGACGACAATAAGGTCGACATGCTTAAAAACTGGACAGGAGCCGATCGTCTGGACAGCCTGCCTAAACTTGACGGGGCTGACGAGATTGGCACACCAGTAGTCTGCATCCAGTGGTCTGGCGGAATCTAGAGCCGCATTGGTAACAGAGGACACCATGAAGTCGGCGATGGATTTGCGGGGACAATGCTTCAAATGCGAGCTTGCGTCATGCATGAGGTCGTTGTAGACGTTGGCCGCCGGTTTCATGTGGAACGAGTGGTAGGCCCTGCCGCCCGTCTTGACGGTCCGGGCAATGATCTGGTCCTCGTTCATCTTTTGCTTGACGGCATCCAGTGCATCGGCATCTCCACTCAGTCGCCATCGCCGGGGCGTTGTGGCAGGCCAGCACGATTCGGCCCTCGTAGCATGCGAGATACGTCTGCGGCCCCGGCGCCAAGTCCCACTGCTATCATGGCACCGTTCGTGTTAATGTTGGAGACGACCTTGCCCCGAAAGTGAGCGGCGCCAATCTCGCCAGAGGAGTGGCCCACGGTGAACTGTTGGACCGATAAGTAATTAGTTCGTCCGGTTGAGGATAGGTTTGGATTCTCTTACCATGGGCTTGACTCCCCAAGATTCGAGTAGGTCGATCAAGGCAACTTGGATGGCGGTACACGCGGGCTGGGAAAACTCGGCCTCGCCTATCCGCGACTGGGCGGCGTCTCCGTGTAGGATATCCTCCAGCGTCCACTCGGGCCCATTGGGTAGATCACCTAGCACCTGGTCCAGTCTGCGGATGGTGCGGAGGAAGCTGGGATAGTGGGCCATGAGCTCGCAGCACATGCGCGCTCACTGGGCTCCCTGGCCCGTAAAGGCGAGCCAGACAACGGGTGGCTTCTTCTTGTCGGCGAAGATGAAGTTCTCGGCGACATTGCCAAAGGCTTCCGTGACACCGTTGGGGCTGCTCACCACGAAGCCACGGCTGGGCAGGCGTGAGCGCCGGTTGGCGAGCGCGTAAGACAGGTCGAGCAAGTTGGCTTATCATGCGCGCTGAAGAGCAACAGGTATGGTCTCTTCCGGTAAAAGACACCCCAGTCGCTACCCTTGACCAGCTTCTGCTTCGTCTGATCGTGCGAGTGCCCCGTAACGAGGGACTCGACGCCTTCGACAATAAAGTGGCCGTTGGTGCCACCGTACCCGAAGCTGTTCACGCTGACCCGGCGAACTGGCAGATGGGCGGGGAAATATTGCGGTTCGCAAGGGACTTTGACATTCCAGTCATCCCAGTTGACTGGCCATGTTCTTAGTCGGATGTCTCATTATTCGTCGTGCCGACGGGGCTTACTGTTGGGATTCAGCTTGGCTATGTCTCGAACGGGAGGGATTATCCCATTCTGCACGGCCAGCACCGCCTTGATAAGTGCCGAAAGCCCACTGGCTGCTTCACTGTGGCCAACATTCGGTTTGAGCCCGCCGATCCATAGAGGCTCAATTTCCTCGGCGCCTTTTGTATACATGGCCTTCGCGACGGGGTGGACCTCGAGAGGGTCTCCAATAGGAATCCCCGTGCCATGACATTCGAAGTGTCCCGTCAAACGCGGATACAAGTCGCCACCGCGTTAATACGCATGGCGGATAACCTGTACTTGACCTTCTAAGTTGGGGTGCGTAATCCCGACGTTGGGAAGCTTGCCGTTGGAATTCACCACCGACGACCGCACGACCGCACGAATCGGGTCGCCGTTTTGAATGGCATCGCTGAGTCGCTTAAGGTACGTGGCCCCTACTGCTTCTGCTCTTCCATAGCCGTCGACCGATGCGTCAAAAGTGTGACAACTTGAATCTGGTGATAAAAAACCTAGCTTTGCCGTGTTCATGTGCTGGTCAACACTTAGCATGAGGTTGGTCCCGGCGGCAATAGCACCGCTACACTCTTTATTGCGGAGCGTGTTAAACGCCTGGTGAACTGCGTAGACGCAAGAGGAACAGGCCGTGTTAAGGGTGAGGCTCGGCCTGTGTAAATTAAACACGTGGCTGATGCGTGCTGAGATTATACCCGGATCTACACCTATGGCGGCATAGCTGTGACGGAAGTCGGGTTTCTTGAAGGATATCTGCTGGAAGTCGCTGGTGAAACTGCCGACAAAGACGCCAGTCTTGCTGTTTTTCATCTCGGCGAGGCCGACACCGGCAGATTCAAAGGTTTCATAAACTACTTCTTAGCAGTTTTCGCTGCTGCGGATCCATCCACATAGCCTCGACTGGAGAGATGTTAAACAGACCAGGATCAAACTCGTGTAGGTTACTATCCTGGAAGTAGCCTCCAGGAACGTTGAATGAGCCCGGGCTCTCATTGTTAGGGTGGAGATGGGCATCTATCTTGAAGCGTGATGAGGGTACTGTCGAGTGAGGCGCCGTTCGCTTGTTCATCATTATATCCCAGAATTGGGCCGGAGATGAAACGTTGCCAGGGAGGCGGCATCCTGTTACAAACGGGTCAGCAACCATGGCACTTGTAAAGAAAGAAGCAGTCTGGTGCAATGTTACCCATCCCAACAACAGCTATAGGCCCCAACTGCTTGCTAAGGGGCTTCTCTGTGTAGCCATCAAAGTCAAGGGGAACGTATTTTTTATCAGTTATAATGCCATTCTCCCTCGCTGGGAATGTTCCTGTGGGATGACGAGAATCGAGAGAGAAAGGGCATAGTGCGTCGATGGTATTAAACTTGGCTCACAATACCTGAGTTGTAATGTAGCATCGCTAAACGGCACGAGTTTCAGGGACTAGAAACACCTTTACGAAAACAGATTGGTCTTTGTCAACAATTTACATATACACACCATGAATGGCCTGGTTTGCATTCAGAATTATCGATTGGGAATACGTCTGGACGTACAGTTCTACCACTCGTCTTGTAGTAAAGATATAACCAAATGGCCGCGCAATGCCTCTGAACTCGGCTAATTGTTTGCTATCCGGTGTGGAGGATTTGCCGGTTTGACTGCCCGATGGGCAATCCCGCTCAAGCCATCTGGTCTCTCGGACCGAACTGTGGCGTGGTAGGCCTGAAGAAGCAGTGCTTCTGTCAGGAGGGTTTTTCACAATAGCAAAGTGCCTAGAGAGATATTGCTTCTAGCCTTATAGTAATTTAGTAGCTAGCTAGGTATAAAATAGTTTAATAATTAATTAGGTATAAAATAATAACTTTATTTATTTTTAAACCTTTAAGTTTTTATAAGCTTAAAAACCCTTTTTTTATAGCTAATAATAATTTTACCTTTAAAACCTAGCTAAAATTTAAAGCTAATTTTTATAAAACCTTTTAGTAATTAATATTTAGCTTATATATTTAGAATTTACTTTTAGTTTTTAATAGAATTTTCCCTTATTAATTATAATTATACTTAGTTAT